GATTGAACTCGCCCCATCTTTGTGTAAAGTCCTGCCCTCTTCTCTGCCTCTGACTGGGTAACCCCAACCAGTTTTAGGCATACCAGGAACTAAAAGTTAAGATATTATATATATTTGAGAATCTTCAATTTAAATTTTAACATTTTTTAAAATTGGTGTCATGTGAGTCCAGCAACTTTATGGAAGTGCAATACTAAATTACCTAATGTACTTTCAGTAAAATGTATTTAAGTATGACATGTAAAAGTATATTCATCCTAAACAAACGCTCCTTTCAGAGCGCTATGTTATTGATGTTACCCTGTCAGCAGCATTTGGTGGTCCAGGTGCTGCTGTGTGTGACTTCTGCACACTCTTGGGTAGATTAAACTGTAGTCATCCATCATGTTTTATGACTTTATGATAGTGTGCTAAATATAGCAATAAAACACGGCAGAATTATAACTTCTCCATTTCTAAACACAGTGTTCCCATTGGCCGATCATGAAAATCTGCTCGGTCAGAGTTGAAACAGGAAACAGGCTTGAATTTGTCCGTCACACAAGCTTCAATTAAAGTGAATGGAACACGGAACAAATATTCATAGTGTAATGTGAATATACCTGAAGCCATGACAGTGTAACAGTAGGTTTGTACAATACCAGGACCCTGAAATGGATGCAGCTAAATGGAATTCAGCCACGATTAATTTTTTTATTTAGACCTTTGCTTTACCTGCTGCGACATGTCAAAATGTCTGAAGTGAAAAAGGCACATTATCTAGCTATTCCACAAAATCTTTGGCTTCCGTTGTCTTTATATTATGTTCAGATCAGAATAACTGTCAAACACACATGACTGTAATGTATTTATTATTCCTTATATTTTCAAAAGACTACAGTATAAACAGATATTATGTGAGTGTGTGAGGCTAGAGCATTTTGTTTGCCGTTTGATGTTTCGATATCTGGCCATCAGAGGCTTAAGGCACATAAAATGGAATGAGGCCGTATACAGGATAGATCAGCAAAAGCTATATGATGTCTCTCTTTCCCTCCTTGTATCCTTGACACACCGTGTGAGTGTTGGAGGAGTGTGTGCAAGGTTATGAGGGACAGAGCCGTATAGGGAGGCAGGTGTAAACAGAGTTTATATGGATCCACGCTGACCTCAGAAAGACAGAGAAAAGCGAGCAGGGCCGAGTTTATTAGATTACTACTGATCTCTGGTGACGGGGCAGTTACAGACACAGGGGAGAGACAGACTTGATCCACAGCTCAACACTGCCACCAAGTGGAGAAAATATGATGAGTTACTTCTAAAGCAATGCTGCTGCTAGGTTAACTGCTGTCAATGCCACTGAGATAATACATCATTAATGTAATCAATAATTGATGCAGTATGACTCTTCAGGAGGAGGAAATCCAGCTTTGCATGAGCTTTACAGAGCTACAATGAATTGGCAACATCAAAAAATATCCAAAAAAGAGTGAGAGCAGTGTTAAATCTTGTGTTTTAAATTCAGTAGTGGGCTGATCATTTGCTTTACATTTGGATCATAGGTGTGACTTTACCAGTCTTGAAAAGGCAATTCTCAATTCTTTACAGGCACTTGGTTGCAATAATCTCCCCAAAGGCTTTTAAAAGTACATGCACACTGCTGCCTAGACATGATGGAATGGTCTTCTGCAGGTGAAGGTGTGAAGGCACACATTATCTATAAATTAGGTCATTGATAACATAGATGCGACAAAAAATGCCAAATCATGAGCACACTGTGAATGTAGAGCTTCAACTAACAATGAAAAATGCCCATCCAAAAAATACTAATGCTCAAATCAACATCTTCAAATGTCCTGTTGTGTTCTAGCAATAGTCCAAACCCAAAGACCCAAAGATTCATTTCCTATTGATCAAATCAATTGACTAATTTCAGTTCTATAGAATGTCAAATCAACTTTACAAGTAAAATTCAAAACAGCATTAAATGCAAATACACTAACATTTTAACAAAAGACCAAAAACCAAACACACAAAAACATTAAGCTGTTTTATCACCAAAGTAAATTAAAACTAAATGTAATAGCCCCTAAAATTACAAGCATCTGATAATGCCCTAGATAATTGTAGATATTCCAAAAGCAAAGAAACACACTTAACCAAATGTTGTGCACTATAGTGCCATTGTGGTGGCTGATGGCAGCGGGTGCTTTAAGTGGTCCTAACATTCAAAATGTGGGCTCTGGTAGTCAATTTATCTTTAAAAAGTAGTCCATCATAATAATAGCATGACAGGGGCAATACAGTATTTTTTGTGTCACACATCAGAGTTTTAATCGTCCACTTGCTTTTGACACGCTTTTACTTCTCTATGGATTTTACCTTTAAAAGGCTTTTACCAATCCATGCCAAAGACCCATGTGCAAACCAAATGCTGCTTTTCAGGCAACTCGGAACTGGGAAATTTTCCGACCTCCAACTAGAAAAACTTTCTTGGAGTGCCACTTGAAGTCCCAGATTTCCCACTGGTGAACTTGGAGAAAAACATATGTACCCCGACTTCACGAGGAGCAGCTGAATTACGTCACAAAACATTGTCAGCACACACTGTCACAAAACATTGTCAGCACACACTGTAAATGGTAAACCAAAGGCAACAAAAAGTATTTTTGCATGTATTTAAATTACAATAATACATACCATCATATAATGAAACCTGTTCTGCATGTACATTGATGTAGAAATATGTGAGGCCTATTAGGTAGCTGGCTACATTAAAGAATCTCATAAAGTCATCTTCTCTGCATAAAAGTTATTGTTAAAAATGCCATAACATTAGGAAGCGTAACCCACAACACTGACTTGGACGTGAGGATTACCAACTGATGGAGGGGTAGGCTACTAGTAACGCATGGGCTATTTATGTCAGTTGTTTGCATTTAAACTGCCATCCTTTTAATTAACACCTAAACCACTACTGAGGGTGCAACTGTGTTCACACTTTGAGGTCGGAAGTCGGATATTTCAACTTGCACATTTCCCAGTTCTGACCGGTCTCGAACGCGCCAAAAGTCCCAAGGGCGCCCTCTTTCTATATTCAATTCAAATTTGCCTTATTGGCATGAATGTGTAACAACAATATTGCCAAAGCATCATACATACAACATAAGAACAATCAACCCCATACATTTCATTAAAGCGTAAAATAATCAAAGCGTGTGTGTGTGTGTGTGTGTGTTGTGTGTGTGTGTGTGTGTGTGTGTGTGTGTGTGTGTGCGTGTTAAAAAAATATACATATTAAAAATTTTAATACAATAAATAAATGAAACAGTAAGCGTGTGTGTGTTTGTGTGAGTGTGGGTTAAAAATATATATATTAAAAATAAAATAAATACATAAAACAGTAAGTGTGTGTTTGTGTGTGTGTGTGTTAAAAATATATATATTAAAAATTTAAATAAATTAAATAAATGAAACAGTAAGCGTGTGTGTGTGTGTTAAAGAAATATATATATTAAAAATTTAAATAAATAAATAAATGAAACAGTAAGCGTGTGTTGTGTGTGTGTGTGTTAAAAAAATATATTAAAAATAAAATAAATAAATGAAACAGTAAGCGTGTGTTTGTGTGTGTGTCAAAAAAAATAATATATTAAAAATTTAAATAAATTAAATAAATGAAACAGTAGGCGTGTGTGTGTGTGTGTGTTTGTGTGTGTGTGTGTGTGTGTTAAAAAATATATATATAAAAATTTTAATAAAATAAATAAATGAAACAGTAAGCGTGTGTGTGTGTGTTAAAAAATATATATTAGAAATTTAAATAAATTAAATAAATGAAACAGTAAGTGTGTGTGTGTGTGTGTGTGTGTAAAAAAAATATTAAAAATAAAATAAATAAATGAAACAGTAAGCGTGTGTTTGTGTGTGTGTCAAAATAAATAATATATTAAAATTTAAATAAATTAAATAAATGAAACAGTAAGCCTCTGTGTGTGTGTGTGTGTGTTGTGTGTGTGTGTGTGTGTGTGTGTGTGTGTTAAAAAAATATATATTAAAAATTTAAATAAATAAATAAATGAAACAGTAAGCGTGTGTGTGTTAAAAAAATATATATTAAAAATTTTAATAACTTAAATAAATGAAACAGTAAGCGTGTGTGTGTGTGTTAAAAAATATATATTAGAAATTTAAATAAATTAAATAAATGAAACAGTAAGTGTGTGTGTGTGTGTGTGTGTTAAAAAAATATTAAAAATAAAATAAATAAATGAAACAGTAAGCGTGTGTTTGTGTGTGTCAAAAAAATAATATATTAAAAATTTAAATAAATTAAATAAATGAAACAGTAAGCCTCTGTGTGTGTGTGTGTGTTTGTGTGTGTGTGTGTGTGTGTGTGTGTGTGTGTGTGTGTTAAAAAAATATATATATTAAAAATTTAAATAAAATAAATAAATGAAACAGTAAGCGTGTGTGTGTTAAAAAAATATATATTAAAAATTTTAATAACTTAAATAAATGAAACAGTAAGCGTGTGTGTGTTAAAAAATATATATATTAAAAATTTTAATAACTTAAATAAATGAAACAGTACGCGTGTGTGTGTGTGTGTTTGTGTGTTGTGTGTGTGTGTGTGTGTGTTAAAAATATATATATTAAAAATTTAAATAAAATAAATAAATGAAACAGTAAGCGTGTGTGTGTGTGTGTTTGTGTGTGTTTGTGTGTGTGTGTGTTAAAAATATATATATTAAAAATTTAAATAAAATAAATAAATGAAACAGTAAGCGTGTGTGTGTTAAAAATATATATATTAAAATTTAAATAAAATAAATAAATGAAACAGTAACGTGTGTGTATATATTAATAGACCTTTTTTTTTTAAAATAATTAATTGATTAAAAATAATAATGAAATTTTATTTAAAAAAAGACAAAAAAGGATTCAGTTTCTGTTTGTCTATTGGTTGTCCTCTCGTATGACGATTTTCCCCCCCTAGCCAATCAGGATGACTGTGTCACCCGGGTAATGTCGCGGGAACTGCCAGACACTCAAAACAACAAACCAAGGAGGGGGACGTTTCAACAAGTGTTCAGCTTGGAGAGCTGCCAAAGTCGAGTCTGTTATGTGAGTTATTTCGATTCAAGACGGATACGTGTGCGCTAATGAAAGTGTCGTAGGTTAGCATTCCCTTCCGACCAGCTAACATTACCAGCTAAGGGGATAAACATAAGTAAGCTGCTGTCGGCTGTGTCAAGTTTCTTGGAAAAACTCCGGAAGTAAGGCAGTATTTTCTTCAAAATCCAATTACTACACTGCCATTTATGCCACTGCAAGTGCCAAACTAGCATTTATAGCCAAATAGCCCCATCGCAATGTATTTCCATTAACTACGAAATCGTTTTAGTCGAAAATTGGGTGAAAACATCGTTTTAGTGGAGGGTTTTATTTTGACAGGTTTGCACCGGACATTGTAACTTTACTGGTTTACGCGAACTTACTGACAGCCAAGCTAGCTAACAGGCTCGCGTTGCTGTGGTTCAAAATGCCAACTCCTAAAGATTAACGTCAGGCTAAGACGCTTTTAGCGAGCAGCACTTTATTTTCAGTAAGAAATCTTCCTTTTTTTATGAATAATGTCAACATAACAGTCAGGTGAGCCAGTTCCCAGGCGCTCAGTGAGAGAACTTACACTTAACCTGAATGGAGCCATTGTTATTTATGTTATGGATTAACTGTTACACCTGTATTTCTGCTGCATCACAAGAGAGAGACTATATTTTAGCCAATGTATATCGCAGTTATAATGATCACAAGCTTGAGTATTGAGCTGTATTTGTCCTGGAGATCAGAATCAGCTTTAATTTGACTCAGGATTGTACACTGCTCACGATGTGCTTACTCATACAAAAATACCATATCACAATGATAAAAATAAAATAAAATACAATCAGACACAGACTTCAGTGTAGACAACACAAATATACACCCCATGAACATAAACAATGTGTGATATACAGGTACACATACATGTACACAGTACAATGGAGCATAGTGCAAAGGATGCTGGAATAAATAAGTATTTTGTGCATGAGTTATGACTTGAGGTAGGTGGATTGGTATACAGTATCTACAATATAACAGTATGAACAGCACTGAAATAGAGAATGGTTATTTCAGATTATACCATATTTGTGCTACAGTGCATTATATAGATTTATTCATCTTGTGATTAAGAGTTTTTTTTAAGGTTTAGACTTTCTTTGATAGTATTTTGTGTTGGTATCCACAATGAAAAGAACATAAGGTGTATATATACTATTCGTATAGGCTGTTCCTCCATATCACATATAGGCATTTTAGTGCTTAAAGTGTGTAATACTTTGAAATATCAATTACCTAAACAGGATTTTTTTTTAGTTTTCTGCAAATAAGGCATTTTATTACAAAGAGTACAACTTTTATTGAGAACCCTGAAATGATGAAAATTGAGAAAGTGCTGTTTTCAGCCATCAGACAAAGTGTCTCTTAGTCTGTTATAAGATGTTATGCGGAGTTTATTGGCTGCTAACACACAGGAGGTTTAAAGGGAATGGGAAAACAAATTCTCAACTACTATTGATGATGGGACATGGGAAAAGATTTGGAATCATGCTAAAAAGATTTTCACCCGAATGAAGGTAGTACAGTTTAAAATAAATAATAGAATACATATATCTCCTAATGGCAGACACTTCTTTAACCCTTCCCTTTCACCGATGTGTCTGTAATGTAAAGCAGAGGTAGGAACATTTACTCATTGCTTATGGTGGTGTGTCAAACTGCAGAGATACTGGTCGGAGGTGCTGAGGGAAATTGGGGTTATGGGATTTTTAAGTCTGATAACAATTTTGATATTTGAGACTTTTAAAATCCGAAAGCTGATATATTGGCCGATATTGTTTTTTCCCCCTTATTTTAAGAAACGCATGACATAAACAAAGATTATCCATAAAATGTTGTTATGTTGAGACCATGACATAATGCAGGATAATAAGAAACTATTTTTGTTGTTATAAATAGTACTTTGAACAAAAGTACAATAAAATATATCACGGTTTTGATAAATAAGAGTCAAATAAAACTATAGAAAAAAATGAAATTTGTGATTTGATATAAATTATGGAGTACTACTACTTATGAACATTAAAGTAAATAGTGTATGTATTGTGGGAGCCAGGAAAACAGAAACTATAAAATTACCCATATACTACTGCTGCTATTACTGTGTTAAAAATCCAATAAAAAAAGTGTGTAATACTTTTATTTTAAAATATGCTATGAGTTGTAATTACGTTCACAAAATTCTTTTTATCTTTCTGTCAGTTGTCTAGGTTCCCATTGGCTGATGGAGTGGACAGTATTACTATGACTCACAGACTGACCAAGGAGGAGCTGGATGAACAGTTTGAGCTGTTCTTGAAGGAGGTAATGTAACACTGTGGAGGAAGGTGGTGCTGTTCATGGATGATCCATTTAGGGTTGCATGAATCGCGCAGTATGGAAAGATGTGGATGTTGGATCTCACTGCCTCCTCAATGCATTCACACCTGTACTTAGAGCTTGTGATCGGATCTCCCAAGATGCATGCTAATGCCAGGCAAACTCTTAAAACCTACTTGATGTTAACTTCTCTCCTTGAAAGTACTGTAGTAGTTTTTAATTCTAAGCAACAGTCGAGCAGAGCTGAGAGGACAGCGGCTAGCCACACTGTCTATGCTACAATATTTCGAAGGACGCAACAAAAAAAGCGTGTCATGGTGTAACATACACAGTCTTATCCTGAAGGCATCTCTCTGACTTAAACCTGATTCTCTGCCAGTCTGTTTCAGATGACTCGGTGGATTTGTGCAGCTCTGACAAGCAGCCCGGTGCTCAAAGCAGTCAGAAGTCAGCCCAGAAACCAACGGTGTCTTGGTGGCAAGATGACGAACACAGCGTTGCCGGAACAGGGAGAGGTAATATTCGCCACGATATAACATCCATCACACCGGACATTTTAGCGTTCGTTAGCCTGGCAGCTTTCAGAAGGAGAACGTGGCTGCAGTTGTGTCTAGGTTCTGCTGTCCAGGGAGGAACTGAGAGAGGGTTTGGGCATTGGATTTTATAAAAGCATTTTACAGCGGGCAGTAATCAAATACCCATAAAATAGAGTCTGTAGTGAAAAAAGAAATACAGGTCACTGGCTTGCTGGAGGGGAGGGAGGAATTCCTCTTTTTTGGCTAGATATATGGCCATTCATTGCATATGTAAAAGTCAAGCTGCGGTTGATATGTAATATACTTGTACAGGAGTGAAATGTACATCACAATCTGAAATTAGTGCTCTTTGTTAAGTAGTCTAATGATACTTTGGATTTAAAGAGCCTGAAAGTGTATTTTCTCAAACAGCTTCTTTGTATGAGGAAGGGGTCCTACTTACATGGTGCTGACACAGAGAGGAAAATATGTGTACTTGTATTCAGCCAGCTTAATGGCTGTCCCAGGACAGTTGGTCAGTCTGTTCACTCCTTTGGAGATTTAGATGTTATGCTAATAGCAGCTAATGTAGCCTTGAGCCTCTAGTTTCAAGCAGAGATGAGGGGCGGTCTACAGAAGGCTAGTTTCTTTGGGAAACGTGTAGTCTCCCGTCTCACAATAAAAAGGTTGACCTCTTCAGCCCTTTTTTTCTACTTTCTTTATGTGATTCCTGCGGTTGCTAATGCAAAATCTTTTACCCTATTTTTCTTCTCGCTGTCTGAAGTTGTCAGTGCGGAGCCCTTTTATAAGCCGGTCCCAAAACCTCGCAGCAGTGTTCTGAATAAACTGGTTCAATTGGACAAGAACCTCAAAGGCACAGTTTTGAAGGTTTCCCAAACTGCGGAGAGACAAAGAACCCCATCTGATGACTCACGCTCTGACAGTCTGAGCAGTCCCACTCATGAAAACCTCCAGTGTGTGTCAGGAGAGAGGAGCCCTGATGAGTCGCACTCTCATGATACTCCAACAGCCAGCACTGGTAGTCCTTCCCAGGGGGACGGTGAAGATGGTAACTTCAACTCAAACCCTTTGGTAGTGCCGCATCAGTCCCTCAGCATTAGAGTGATAAACACTAGCACCACTAGTTCTCTTAGATTGTTGTCATCGTCTCGATCATGCTTTTAGTTTTTATTTTGTATGTTAAAGTTATGGTTTTCTTGCCTTCCACATAGACCTCATGACAAATAGTCATGTATGTTTGCTTACTGATCAGATATATCCAGATACTTCTTTCTCTCTTTGTCTCTGTAAATGGCAAAACAGCAATAATGAATATAATAATTAAGTTCACTTACAGAAACAGCCGACGACACTATGTGGCAGTATGGGGTCATATGTAGCAATGCACAGTGTATCATTTCTTATCTCTACATAAATAAGTCAATTGTTACATTTTCACCATTTAGCATGCAGTTTATTAAAGACTTAAACAAAAGCCACGAGTCAAGCAAGTCATGTTCACACTCACAGATGGGGAGAAGTGGGTACAGAGAGGAGAGGAAGCCCATTCATCTAGGTGCCATCAACCGTAATCACAATTAGTACCCACCTGCATGTGAGCTGTGTGTATATGAAGAACAGGCAGGCTTTAGTGTTAAATAGCAGTTTGCATAAGATTAAAAAGTACACTAAAATACATTTCGGAAAATATAATTAATAGATTATCTATTAACAGTTGAAACATAATCTCGGGTTGTTCAGGTAAATGTATGCGATGTGACCTGCATTAACTAACACGTTACTTTTGCTTTTTTATGACATTTTTGTCCAGGACTGGCGGGATCTGGAAAGTCTTTCAGGAAGTCTTTGAGGAAATCTCTGTCAATTCGAGAGGAGGATGAGGATCCAGGACGCGCTGGCTGGAAGGAAAAAGGGCCTGAAGCAGCTGCTCTCGTCAGAGAAAATACTGAGATAGAGGGTGAGTCTTGGACAAATGGCATGTCTTAAAGAGGTGGTATTATGCTTGTTGGCTTTTTCCCTCTCCTTTATTGAGGTTTGCAAAGTGAAAAAGCCCAAAGTCCAGCCCAAAGGGAGTTCCCATCTCCCACAGAAAACACTACTCTGAGCTGCCTGTTTACATAGAAAACAACAGAGGAGACTGTTTTGACTGACGTTACATGCTGCTGATGTGTGTCGCCCTTAAATGTTTGTTCATACAGAATGTTAGGCTTCAGTGGACAAAAGCTACAAGTCTTGTACTTTATTCACAGAACAGCTTAACTGCAACATGACTATGTGAAGTCTTCTGCATTCTAAGTTGTTGACATTTTTTCCCACAGTTTCTGAGAAAATACTGAATTGAATATGGAAACAAGAATCAGATGACCACTTGAAAATGATCCGATCATTAGACCTGAGTATAGACTTTTTGGATTGTGTGTTCAACCATAATATAAGAGCTTTTTTATGCTGTTAGGTATTCCAAATAGCAAGTCGTTTGAAGTATACAGCAGCCTTTAGCATTTCAGACCCTTTTATTAGGACTTTTACGTCCTGTGTCACAGTCACAGTTTCCACGCTTTCCACCTGTGATCTCTTTATACGTGTGCATTGACTCAGTGATGGTACCAGCGGTGAACACGACCGGTATTGGCCTGGACACTCTGGAGGAAGAAGAGGAGAAAGCCAGGTTCTTTGCCCAACTAGAAGCAGCTGCTTCATCAACTATAGATTACTCCAACCTGAACAGAGACCTGGACTCAACAAGTTCTACCATCGGCACTAACCTCAGGTATGTAGACGGCCGTGCTCTGATATAACGCAGTGTTTTCCATAGATGGATTTATTGGAAATTTAGTCCCTCCTCTCACTGGCTCCCTCTCTCTCACAAACACAGTGGCCGCTTTTATACAGAGTTCCCACAATAAAAGCAGAAAAGTGATCTGCCATTGTGTCGCATTCACTCATTCATACGTTTGCGGCATAATCCCGCAGCCATGTGGTCTTTCACATGGCGATCCGGGTTTCTGGAACCAGCTGCGTTAAAAAACATTTTTATGTGTAATACAACACTGGCATGACCGCTGCGGTCCGGACTCAGAGGCGGATCAAATCGGACCCCCCTTTGTCTAGCTATGTTCTTAACACAACGCTGTCAATCACTGAGACCAAATAACAAATAAGTTATTAGCGAGCAAAGCTGGCTAATACGGATGTTAACGTTAGAATACAGCTGCGTTGTGGAGGTGAGCATGTTGTACATAGCTGGTAGTCAAGATCAGCTGGTCCAGCGTCAAGTCCTGTTGTTTAAAATCCGTAGACAAAAACACAACATATTTAACACATGCACATTCAAATTTAGCCTAAGCACAAGCTGGGTACCAAACTTCAGTTCTACCAAGTACTGTACCAAGTTTTGATACCTGAAGTTAGGAACAAATGTCATAATAAATAATAATAATCCTTATTTGTAGAGCACTTTTCAAAAACAAGTTACACAGTGCTTTAACAAGTGTAAAGAATAATACAAAAAAACAAGATAAGAGCATGAAAAATTAATATAAAATTAGTGAAATACAATAAAATGAAAGGGATAAAATAGAGTCAAATAAGATCGGGAAAGGCTCTCCTATAAAAGTATGTTTTAAGAAGGGACTTAAAAGAGTTCACCGACTCAGCCGACCTGATTTCCTCGGGCAGGCTGTTCCAGAGCCTCGGGGCCCTGACAGCAAACGCTCTGTCCCCTTTAGTTTTCAGTCGAGACTCTGGAACAGACAACAGACCTCTGCCCGAGGATCTCAAGGTACGTGCTGGTGCGTATGGGACTAAAAGGTCAGAAATATAACAAGGCGAGAGGCCATGAAGAGCTTTAAAAGTGATCAATAGAATTTTAAAGTCAATTCTAAAACATACTGGGAGCCAGTGTAATGAAGCTAAAATAGGAGTAATGTGGTCATATTTCTTTGTTCTGGTTAAAAGCCTGGCAGCTGAGTTCTGGACAGTCTGGAGTCGATCAATAGATTTTTGGGTTAAACAGGTGAAAAGGCTGTTGCAATAATCCAGGCGTGATGAGATGAAGGCGTGTAAAATGGTCTCGGTGTCCTTAAAAGTTAACATAGATCGAATTGTTGCTATATTTCTAAGTTGATAAAAACATGATTGAACAAGCTTTGTGGTGTGCTGCTCGAAATTTAAATTACTATCAAACCAAACACCAAGGTTCTTTGCCACAGGCTTAATGTGATTTACTAGGGAACCAGCAGATGGCAGTATTTGATTTGCCATCTGCTGAGACCCGATGACCAGGATTTCTGTTTTGTCTGAGTTCAGCTGGAGGAAATTATTTGACATCCATTTTTTAACTTCACAAAGGCAGTTGTTAAGTGAACTCAGCATTCCAGGGTCTGGGGTCATCAGCATTATTGTCAATAAGCATGCCGGTGATTGGATGTCTAACATTGCACATCGTAGAGGCAGGCAGTAAAAGAACATTACATTATGTCCAGAGACAGACCAGCTGCTTATCTGCACAGAGGAGTGAACTTTGTGCTGCTTGTTCGCTAACCAGTACAGCTAACGAGTATCTGCTCAAGGCCGTTCACCACATCATCCACTGGGATGATGTAATAATGTTCCTTTCTATAGTTATTTATATTTTTTATATATTAATATCCTATACTACTAATTTTACTGTAATGTGCGATGTAATTTTCAGGAACTGTTTTGGAAGTCAAGGTATCGGTACCGATATTGTCAGTGCTGGGCCCCAATGCAGGATGGTCAAACCAGGCCTTCCCATAACAATCACAGTAACATAATGTAAGGTCAGTAGTGAATTAAAGAAGTGAAAGCACGCAGCTTTAAAATGACCAGTAACAGTGAGATGCACTGCACAATTAACACCTAAATGAAGGACAATACCAAGGCTAAGACGGGGATAGACGAGCCTGTTTTATTAAATCGCTGTCGGGAGCACCAAAAGACATTAAACCAGTGACAGTGCACCTTCACACATAGAAAAACATGTTCCTGTCGGTGACAATGACACATATGAAAAATGATAATGATCAGTGACAGTGCACTACATCGACATCATTGACATGAGTCATGTGAGTGAGTGAGCTAAAAACAATCTACTTGCTGTTGGCTATGTTGTATGTCATTTCCAGGAAAAGAAACACATAATATTACAATATAAAATGTGTTTTAAAAAGTACAAACTCAGGAATATAGCAAGTACTCACCCATCGTTTGAGTGGTTATGTCTCCAGTCTGATCTCCCAGCTGACAGCTACGTGGTTTGTTTTCATGTTGTAACAGAAGTGCATATTTAACAGATTCAGTGTGGACAGAGAGCGCCCGATGTTACACGTTGCAACACGATAATGACACGGTGAACACTGTGGAATTGCACACTAACAGATCCTTGCTTGCCTAAGGGGTCTCGGATGCAGTCTCTTTGCTGCTGCTATGCCTTTGAATACCAGGGTTGTGACTATAATATAATGAGGATTGATATCCTCCCTCCAGGAACGCTGAGGAAGCAGTGGAGCAGAGGGATGATGATAAAAAGAAAGCCAAAGTGACTGAGACTGTCAGAGAGTCGCCAGGTAACAGTAATGATGCCTTGTCAAAAATATCTTTGCTTTCTTTTTCTCTTCCTCTGTGTGTATCAATCAGGTTTTTCTCTCTCAGCCTTTACAGGCTCTCCACACTACAGTGAGGATTTTGAGGAAGAGGAGAATGGAAAAGACCCAGTGGAGGAGGTTTGTAGGGGGGATCTATAATTATTTAGCTATCAGGTGTTTTTTGATAAGGTTGGGAAGCCTCAACTAATGTGTGTCAATCACACATCAAAGTTGAGTGAGTTGTTGGAAATAAAACACATATTACTGTAAATTAAACTTTCTCTGTCAGACATGTAAATTTTGGTGGAGCAGTAACATGTGGAGAAGGAACATCTTTGGTCTGCACCACTAGTGATATTGGCTGGCTGGTTTCAGCGAACTGGGTCAATAGAAATTGTGGTGGCATTACTGAGGCTTTGTGCTTTGAGCTTTCTCTTTTTAATATGGACATATCACATCTTGCTACATGATTCAGTAATTCATACTATTATCTGTTTTTCAGAAATCTAAAATGTCTCCAATTCTAGCCAAAGGTAAGAGAAAATGCAATGATATTTCACTGAGGTCATGAGTGAGTGTCAGGAGGAATAAAATCTCAGAAGACTGAGGCAAACAAGCTGTACACAGACTATACCATTAAATAACAGAGCACCACAGTGGATGCCATGTTAATAATACTAATTATGGCCTCACTACCTACAAGGTGTAAGTGTTGGTAATCTCATTCAGTTTTCATTTAAATAACAGTTATTTAAATAACATTAAAATAACAGGCTGCCCACTGGATCAGTAAACCGTCCACTTATTAGTTCTTTACTTATATATGTCTCTCACTCTTTCTTAACTTTTATCTCAGTGTCTCTCTATGATTCCTTGGATGACACCAGTGGAGAAGACAAAAGAAAGGACACAGCAGGATCTCTGGACAGAGGTAACACAAACAAATAGGGTCAAGTGAGGAAGAGGAGAGTGCTATCCAGTTACATAAAAGGTGCAACAAATCAAATACCAGACAGCACACTTTCTCTCACCCTAACCAAGTCCTTAGAGTTGCTTAAACATTACCATAAAAGGAATCCGCATACTGTAGTTATTGTGAGTGGATGTTAGAGGAAAACAACTTCAGTCAACGAATTGCAGATACCTTCAGTATGGACATTGCAGATTTATTTACTTATTCTGTTGATAAAAACTAGAGCCCGACCGATTGTTTGCAGATATTATCGGCCGATATAAGCTACTTGCAGATATATCTGTGTCAGCGTTTATAACAGCCGATATATGACTATTAAAAAGAGAAACAGAGAGTCGGATCCTTCGCCCATGTCGTGAGTGTTGCATAGTTTGCCCACCAGAGGGTGCTGTGCAGCTCCTCTGTAAATGTTAACAACATTGCAGCACCACAGAACAAAACATCAGCTGACCGAGGAGCTCCTGGTAGCTCTCACAAACACAAAGAGTTGTTCATTTGTCACGTCAATTACAATTGACAATTAATTGAAAATTATTAAAATAATAATAAACTCAGCCCTTATCACTTCTCCTCTCCTGAAAACATTCATACCAGACTTGCTAACCGTCCTGTTTTTCTCTGCACTCTCCCGGATCACAGCAGGATGTTTCATGTAAACTTAAAGTAGGTGAGCGGTGGAGGATAACGTTACGCTGGCAGACGGGATTGTAGATTTATATCTGAAACAGTGCGGCACTTCGACTGAATGGTCCTGTCATTTCTCCCCAGTTGATTACTTCTAAATATTATTTAACAGAACTTACAGCAGCTAACGCTGCCCGTTGTTAAATTAGCCACAAAGCCATGTTTATCAGTGGAGGAGCGCTAACGTTGTTAATGAGTAGTTAAACTATAGTGTGTTTAACGTATTCCAAATGGATCTGCGAGCTGCTTGTCTCTACTTACAGTCGGTGTGTCAGAAATTATTAAACCAGATAGGACATGTAAATAAACGTGAGCCGAACAAGAATCTAACACGGCTTCCTGCCTAACAAAGTTCTCTAACGTTACCTCTTCTTTTGAATGTGAAACGTTAGTATGAAATCTCAAAGTTGCAGGTCCTCCTTGTAGACCGTCATTTAGTATTAGATTAATTCAACAGCAGCGTTTCCTCTGTGTCACTGTATCATAGACGACAGGTTATAGAGCCAGATGGCGGTGAGGAATGGTTTCTCGTAGCTTTGGATAGAATTAACAGTACTGTTAAAGGGATAAACGAGATGTGAATATGCTACATAGTAGAAAGTAGTCACTGTATGTAAAGTAATAACCATTTCATGACAAAAAATATATACATAATTTTTTTACCTATGTAGGAGAGCCCTGTTTATCATATTGGTATATGGTATATATGGTATTATTATTAGAGTAGTAGAGTAGTTTCTGTTTTGCTGCCCCCCACATTACACTATTTACTTTAATGTTCATTAGTAGTAGTACTCAATAACAAATCAGATATTTAAAAAAAAATCTGTAGTTTTATGCGTTTGACTCTTATTTTTCAAAATTGTAATAAACTTTGTTGTACTTTTGTTGAAAGTTTCTTTTTATACTGCATTATGTCATGGTATCTTGGTATGGTCTCAACATAACATTTTTTGGGATAATCTTTGTTTATGTCATTTGTTTCTTAAAATAAGGGGAACCAACAATATCAGCCAATATATCGTCGGATTTTAAAATCCTCAAATATCGAAATCGGTATCGGACTTAAAAATCCCATATTGGTTTGCCTCTAGTAAAAACATAACCATTGGTTGCATTTTGTTTCTCTCAAAATGTATTTGTTGTTAGAAATTAGTTAGGGATGTCCCCATCAAGATTTGTTGCCGCTAATCCTGATCCGAGTCATTTAATATTGAGTGTCTGCAGATACCAAGTCCCGATCCGATACTTGTATTTTCCTAGATAATACTGTTGCACAGTCACAATTCTACTACATTAAAGGTTTGTCACTTTCTGTCTGTCAGGGACCAAACGGTCAAGCAATGAGGAGAACAGGAGTTTTGGTTGAAAAAGTTTTTTTTACTTACCCAAAAATGCCTAACAACAGAAACCAAGAATTTAACATCCAGACCTATAAAAGAGGTCAACAAATATAACTATATTCAGAACAGCAAACAACAAAACAAACTGACCTAACTGAATGACACACAAGGGAACATATATAGTGGTATGGCCAAACCAATTTACACACAAGGGGGAAATAAAATGGCCGCCAACTACTACAAAGTAAAACAAACTAAACCCAACCCCGTCGTCGTTTCCATGGACACAGTGAATAAACAAGGCTGCGCAGATGTGAAAATGAAATGATTCCTGGAGAAGTATGGAATTTTGAAATGGAAAAAGTGTAGCAATCCTGCTTATTGGAGAAAGCGTTGAATAAAGATGCCTCAGTCATCCTCTTGTAAAACTATCCAAATCTTTTACACAACAGATATCATTCCATAGAGATTTCAGTCTTACTCGGGACTTCATCAAAATGTAAGCTATGATTTACTGTTTCTGTTGTTTGGGTTTTCTCACAATAAACCACTGAGCTTCTGGTTGTTTCTTATCAGACCTGGCGGGGATTTCACGATTGGTTGCAATTACCCCACAAGATCCTTTATTGTTTTATCTTGCATTGGTTTTTATACAGAGTATACTAAATTTGTTTTCTGTACAGGCCAGTTGTATGTGCAGAGTGGAGGCTCAGATATGGAGGCTCTTCATGAGGCCTACAGACAGATCCATGTTGTGGAAGATTCAGATGACCATAATCACCATTATTCATCTCTGGAAGAGAGGGGGAGGATCAACAAAGTTGCTTCACCATCGTCCCCTCAGCATGCCGGACAGTCTCTTGAGCCTGCTTCTACTAATCAATCAGGTCAGACACTACCATGGTAGAAACAGTATTTGGGAAATGGTAGACTTTCTCTGTCTGTATGTAAAATTCATTTGTCTAACTGGAGGAGTGATGCATCTGCAAAAGTTACATCCCAGTTAAGTGGCTGACACGTCTCTATTTAAAGATTGAATGCGTCAAAATGGTTCAACAAGACTGTTTCATTGCTATACCTCTAAAGCATCTGAGAAATGCCTCCATTTCTGAAATTTGGAATCGTTTACAGCTGTCAGTACCCACATTCACTCTGTCATGCTCTGGTCAATTCCTTAAAGAGGTGGTATTATGTTCATTTTCAGGTACCAGAACAGGTTTACAGGTGATTTTCAAAAAACACCATATTTTTTGTCATACTGCACATTGCTGCAGCTCTTCTTTTCACCCTGTGTTAGTGTTGTAGTAAAAGTGGTCTTAAGACCGGTCTTGGTCTTGAGACCAGTCTTAAGACCACTTTTTGATGGTCTTGGTCTCGTCTCGGACTCGACCGCATTTGTACTCGGTCTCCGACATTGAGGAATTGGGATTTTATTTCAAGATCATAACTTTGGGAATATCAATAAATTGCTTTTGAATTGTCTGCCTCTTCAAAAGGCATCATCTCCTCTGTTTGTACTTGTTGGCAGGTCTCCATCACTACATGGATGTTACTACAGGCAGTTGCAACATTGCCACTGCTAGTTGTTATGTAAACTGTCATTTCAACTAAAATTGGTTTACTGGTACATTTCAGACTTTTGTCTCTTAAAGCCGTGGTGGAAACCCCTGATAACACAGTGGTTTTGGTAAGATCATGTACAGGTGCTGGTCATATAATTAGAATATCATTTAAAAGTTGATTTATTTCAGTAATTCCATTCAAAAAGTGAAACCTGTATAATGTATACATTCAATCTACACAGACTGATATATTTCAAGTGTTCATTCCTTTTAATTTTGATGATTATAACTGACAACTAATGAAAACCCCAAAATCTGTATCTCAGAAAATTAGTGTGAGAATTAGTTGTGAAAAGGTTCAATATTGAAGAGACCTGGTGCCACACTCTAATCAGCTGATTAAGTCAAAACACCTGCAAAGGCCTTTAAATGGTCTCTCAGTCTAGTTCTGTAGGCTACACAATCATGGGGAAGACTGCTGACTTGACAGCTGTCCAAAAGACGACCATTGACACCTTGCACAAGGAGGGCAAGACACAAAAGGTCATTGCTGAAGAGGCTGGCTGTTCACAGAGCTCTGTGTCCAAGCACATTAATAGAGAGGCGAAGGGAAGAAAAAGATGTGGTAGAAAAACGTGTACAAGTAATAGTGATAACCGCACCCTGGAGAGGATTGTGAAACAAAAGCCATTCAAAAATGTGGGGGAGATTCACAAAGAGTGGACTGCAGCTGGACTCAAGAACCACCACGCACAGACGTATGCAAGACATGGGTTTCAGCTGTCGCATTCCTTGTTTCAAGCCACTCTTGAACAAGACACAGCATCAGAAGCGTCTCGCCTGGGCTAAAGACAAAAAGGACTGGACTGCTGCTGAGTGGTCCAAAGTTATGTTCTCTGATGAAAGTACATTTTGCATTTCCTTTGGAAACCAAGGTCCCAGAGTCTGGAGGAAGAGAGGAGAGGCACAGAATCCACGTTGCTTGAAGTCCAGTGTAAAGTTTCCACAGTCAGTGATGGTTTGGGTGCCATGTCATCTGCTGGTGTTGGTCCACTGTGTTTTCTGAGGTCCAAGGTCAAGGCAGCCGTCTACCAGGAAGTTTTAGAGCACTTCATGCTTCCTGCTGCTGACCAACTTTATGGAGATGCAGATTTCATTTTCCAACAGGACTTGGCACCTGCACACAGTGCCAAAGCTACCAGTACCTGGTTTAAGGACCATGGTATCCCTGTTCTTAATTGGCCAGCAAACTCGCCTGACCTTAACCCTATAGAAAATCTATGGGGTATTGTGAAGAGGAAGATGCGATACGCCAGACCCAACAATGCAGAAGAGCTGAAGGCCACTATCAGAGCAACCTGGGCTCTCATAACACCTGAGCAGTGCCACAGACTGATGGACTCCATGCCACGCTGTATTGCTGCAGTAATTCAGGCAAAAGGAGCCCCAACTAAGTACTGAGTGTTGTACATGCTCATACTTTTCATGTTCATACTTTTCAATTGGCCAACACTGAATTTGGGATTTTCATTAGTTGTCAGTTTTAATCATCACAATTAAATGAAATAAACATTTGAAATATATCAGTCTGTGTGTAATGAATGAATATAATAACCAAGTTTCACTTTGTGAATGGAATTACTGAAATAAATCAACTTTTTGATGATATTCTAATTATATGACCAGCACCTGTAATTGGGGAGAAGGCACAAGTTCAGCTTACCAGCCTTCAGTTGTCCAAAGGTCACAGTATTATGGGCCACATCCACAGCGCTGAAGTGTTTACGAATGCCAAGCTCATGACAGGACTAAAGTATGTTGAATCATTATTTTGTGTGTATCTAGAGTTACCCACCGCAGAAGAGTTGATGAGACCCATCCGGCCAGAGATGGACCATATCAGAGGCTTCACCCTCCAGCCTGTCAGGTAAGGACTGGAAAGTCTTACTTGCAATCATCCAAAATGATGAAATCTCAAAACATAAAGAGACAGTCAGTTGTTTGTTTATTATTGTTATTAATATTTTTAAACCTTTAGTTAAGGTTAAAAAAATATATTATTTTGATTGTTCACTGGTTGTACTGACTGTTGCATGTAATGTCTTAGACTTTTGGGGACATTGTGCATGTAACCACAGAAGTCTGACATTTTTTGGTTAGTAGTTCATTAAACATTTATTTATACAGTGTCATCCAATTGGAGTGTTAATCCTTTGTATGCAGCACAAACACCTCAGAAGTTTACATCAAACAGAATGAAACATATTAAATCATGCAGTTATAATAAAATAGAAAAATGAGAAATGGTAAAAGAACAAATAAGACATGACATGAGCAATAACCTATTGACTCAAATACAGCAATATGTGTGGCCATAGTTATGGAGAGTTGTTCTAAAATATAATTAATTATTGATGGTAGAGCAAGAATTTAAATATCACTATAGATATTTTTGTGTTACCAGATCAGGTAACAAAAAAATACTGGCTGACATGTAATTAACAAAAATATTTATCATCTACCCACCTCACTCGATACACCGGAACATACACACAAATTTTGTAAACCACCTTAAGGGCCGACACGCCGACCATTATAAAGAATTTTGAGAGTTTGGGGACAGCTTTAAACATCACCGCAGCGTTAAACAAGATGTCCCAGAACACTGTTGTTGATAGGTGTGGTGTCCAGTGGTTTTCTCCACAGCCATTTGTAATTCTCAAAGCTAAGCTAATCCTCCTCAGAGTTTTTAAGGCTGAGGAATCTCAGACAGCAGATTTTCAGTTGATGGGAAAATACTTCAACTATGGTCTGAAGTAAATTAACTTAGATGCTGTTGTGCTTAACACACAGTGCTCTTATCTAAGAATAGATCATTTAGTTATGGCTAAAGATTCAGACAATGAGTTCTTGTAACAGAGGAATTGAGCTCTTTCATGGATGCCCTTATTCGTGAAAAACGCAGCACTCTCTCCCCTGTTCTGGCTATAATTTGGGAGGTATTTTCCACTTTGACAGTTGAGGTTACTGATACACAGCCGTCTTTCTCTGCCCAAGATTCTAGGACAGGTGTGTTACCTAAAGGGAGGAGGTTAGAGGAAATTTAATGGACAATGTCCATTTACTGGAAAGAGAAGAAGAAGATGCAGACACAGAACTCAAAAATGAGTTCACACAATAAATGAAAAGATGCCTGAACCCAGTGCTGAAGAGGACCCACTCACACAGTGGAGGACAAATGAGAAAACTTTTCCTTACCTTGCCCAGTTTGCTATTTGTGCATCACTGCTTAAAGCTCAGCATCATAACGTGTATTTAGTACGTCAGGGCTCATTTGTAGTCCAAGACAGACACGACTTCCAGAGGAGCACGTTGACATGCTGGTGTAGTTAGCAAAACATGTGAAAGTTGCAAAACACTTTAGAGTACAGTAATGGGTGTCACTCTCACTCTCCTCTGTGAAGCCCGTCTGCATATATAACAGTAGTGATTTCTTCCATTAGATTTTCCTTTATTCACTTGTTACTTGAAAATACATAAGACTGCACTGTTTTGTTTCCACTTGCTCTTTAGTGCCTTTTGAATGTGTGGCAATCTCAGAGGCATTTGAATAAGTGTGCTACCTCAAGAAGAATATTGTTTTAATTAATATAAAATGTTTTAAATATTGTAAATGTACAGTAACTCTGCTCTGTTCTCTGCTACTAGCCACGAAAAGAAATGTTGTACATCATTGTAATGTTATAGCCATGATATATTTATATTTATCTTTCAATAAAAATCAAGGATTTTATTCCTTCACTGTTGTGTCAATTTTCCCCTGAGGTATTGAACATTTTTCAAGGATTGTATCAAAGTTAGAAATTCCAGTCTTGTGACAACCCTACACTCTACAATAAACATCAGACACATATACCAAGTGGCATTTGCAGACATTTGGAGCCCGTATGTTGTCCTTACACCATACCACTCCTGTACACCATGTTGAATTTTCCTTATTTAAGGATAATTATTAAAGGTCTCTCCTCCCTGTAATAGCTCTTTAAATTTTTACCAAGCTCAACAACCTTTTCTTCTCTTTGCTTTCAGTAAGTAGCTAGGTTTAGGATGTGTTTAATACTTGAGGAAAGCCTTAAAGCAGAGGGAAACTCTTAGTCTAGCACGCTCAAAAGTGAAAAAGTATGCATTCTCTAAAATACAAACCTGGATTTAGTTCACAGCAAGTCACAACGCTAACAGTAAGTTTTAGTGTGTTTTTCTATATTTTCTCATTACAGTGCTGTAGAACGTGACAAAGAAAAGACATCCCACTACACTGAAAGAACGTTCCCGGATCTGACTTCCCCAGAGACACAACTGAAGCAACTAGGAAAAGCTGACCACGGTGCAGAGATAAAGGGAGCCAGGGCTTTGATTAGCCACCCTTCCAGCTCCCCAGACCCTCCAAACCACAACCTGACATGGAGCATCAGACAGGAAGTGGAGAGGCTGATGCAGGATCAGAACAAATATTCATCCTTTCAGGCTGGCAAAGCCAAGAAACAACCGGTGAGGCAAACTTATCTCCATTTTGGCAGTATTTAGGTTAGTTGTATCAGGCAGACCACTTTAAAGAAACCGTTCTCTCAAAAAGACACAAGTCATAATTTAACATTTGTAAGGTAAGTGGTGGTGTCAGATCCAAAACATCAATGGCTAAGCTGTAGTGGTCTGCTACTACTGAAACAAAGTGTGATGTTTACACAAGTGTTGGTCTATATATTCTTACAGATAAGATTATATATTTAAGTAATTATGTATTTTAATTGAACTGGCGACCTGTCCAGAGTGTACCCCGCCTATCGCCCGATGTCAGCTGGGATTGGCTCCAGCCCCCCCGCGACCCTGTACGCAGGATAAGCGGTTGACGATGGATGGATTTTAATTGAATTATGTTTAAACCATACAAATGTGTTTCAATGATGTAATATGATATTACCTGAATATCCAAAGATTTTAGCAGTTATCAGCATCAGAAGATACACACCTAATACACTGAAGGGGCCTTTTATTGTGGCCAGCCTAAGGCCTTTTATTGTGGCCAGCCTAAGGCCTTTTATTGTGGCCAGCCTAAGGCACACCTGTGCAATCCCCATGCTGTCTGATCAGCATCTTGATATGCCACACCTGTGAGGTGGCTGGATTATCTCAGCAAAGGAGAAGTGCTCACTAACACAGATGTTGACAGATTTGTGAACAATATTTGAGAGAAATAGGCCTTTTGTGTACATAGAGAAAGTCTCAGATCTTTGAGTTCAGCTCACGATGAATGGGGGCAAAAACAAAAGTGTTGTGTTTATAATTTTGTTCAGTGCATTTAGCATGGGGATGGTTAACCCCTCCAGCACACTTCTGTTGTGAGCCTCATTTTGTTCCATGTTTTTTAACACACTATTGTGTAACCATGATGCATCATGGGCATTTTTCCACAGTTGTCCCATGGCGCCACTATTTCTCATCCCTCTACATCTTCAGTGAGGAATACCACTATGGCTCCTGTGAGAGGCCGGAGAGGGGGTGGGAGAACAGCAGTGACTTCCAGGTCGTCAGGGCTGAATAGAGCTGCTGCTCCGGCCAAATCTTCTGTATCCTGTCCTCTGCAGCGTCCACGACAAAAAGCCACATTTACAAAGAGCCAAGAAAAAGATGACCACACAGGTTATTAGTAGCACTCACTCATTACTGCCCAAGGGTCTGTGTCTCTCTGATGATACTGCTATTAAGTTGACCTTCATGATACAAATGCTACAAATGTATATACATTTATTTTTGTTTGTTTTTAAATCTTTGCTCTTCATGTTATCACTCGTCTTTGAAAATGTAATTCCAAATTTCACCCCATTTCTGAATCCGCTCGTAACTCTATAATATGGGAGCATGGTGTGGAGGTGTGGATCAATGCGTCATGTTTGGAGCTGAGTGAGCTGATGTGTCTTTTCTATTTTGTTTGATTAGCAGAGGCAGGTCTGAACGTGAGCAGTGAGCTGGTGGCATCTGTTCAGTCCTTAGTGGCTGTCCTTCAACAGCAGATAGACACAAGCAGTCACCAGGATGCTACAGACACACAGGACATCAGAGGACTTCAAGAAACCAGACTGACACATCACCTTCCAAAGAAAACTGTAAGAAAATACTTCATACTACATCTCCAGCTGACTTTTTAGTGTTTACAACTGACTTGTTTGAAAATGAGAACTCTGCGAAATGAGCTGACTCAGCACTGTAATGAGAAAAAGACTAAAGCTTGCAGATCCCAAACAAAAAGTCAATATGCTCACTAGTTGGGGATTGGTGTGGAAATGGAGGAGGAGCATTGTTTCTAAATTGCAGGATAGATATATTATAGTACTGTTTTATTTGGACAAATGTGAGTAAAAATAGACTGTTAGTAGACAATTTGCAAACTCTGTTATGTTTGGTTTGATTGACCACAGTTGAGTTCAGTGTTGATGTCTGACTTGCAGAGGGAGGAGGACAGCTCTGTGGTGGAGGAGCTGAGAGTCCAGCTGGCTCAGAAAGAGAGGGAGCTGCAGATGATGAAGGAAGGAGCGGAGGAACTCAGCTCTCTCAGACAACAGAACTACTTACTGCAAAGCAAGGTGCACAAACACACTCACAACACAGGACCTTTTAAAAACAAAACATAAATTCCATGCTCGGTAGCCATCTTTGTTGCATACAGAGGGTATAGAAAAGAATCACCTCCCTGTAAAATAATCACATATTGTTGCGCTGCAGCCTGAAATGAAAATGGACAGACACAGTTTTTGTTTCATTCAGCTGTATTTACAACTTATAACATCCAAGTGAAATATATAATACCAACTTTAAAAATTACAAATTAAAAGACAGAATCACCCCCCTCCTAAAAATGACTTGTAAACCTAACCAGGTGTAGTTAATCACCTTCTCAATAGCACACAAAGCCAATTGACTTTCAACTGTGATCAGCTGTGGTCATTTTGATTAGCTCAGCATGAAACGAGCTTTTTCTGAAGCATTTCACTCCTTGGTAGTGCAACTGAAAACAACAATGGGTGGCAAGGCATTGTCAAATGATCTCCGGGATAAAGTTGTGGACAGGCACCAATCAGGAGATGGATACAAAAAAATGTCAAAGGCTTTATCAGTGCCTAGAAGCACAGTGAAGTCTTTTATTAAGAAGTCAAAGGTATTTGGTACAACACAGACCCTCCCTGGGTCAGGACCAGCTCCAAACTGGATGAAAGAGCCAGGAGGAAACTGGGCCAAGAGGCCTACAGCAACTCTGAAGCAGTTGCAGGAATTCATGACAAAGACTGGTCATTGTGTGCATGTGACAACAATATCACAAATTCTCCACAAATGTGGCTTGTATGGGAGGGTTGCAAGAAAAAAGCCACTCCTCAAGAAAGGCCACGTGCAGTCACGACTGAGCTTTGCCAAAACGCACCTTGAAGATTCTAAGGCCACGTAGAAAAAGGTGTTATGGTCAGATTAAAATTGAATTGTTTGGCCTCAACGCTGAACGATATGTCTGGCGAAAATCCAATACAGCTCACTATCCAAATAACACCATTCCTACAGTAAAGCATTGAGGTGGTGATATCATGTTATGGGGTTGTTTCTTTGCAGCAGGGACTGGAGCACTTGTCAGGATAGAATGAAAAATGGATTGGGCAAAGTACTGTCAAATTCATGGGGAAAATCTGCTGCTCTCTGCCAGAAAGTTGTCAACGGGAAGAAGATTTACCTTCCAACACGACAATGACCCAAAGCACACTGCAAAACTGACCACACAGTGGTTGAAGGAGAAAAAGGTGAATGTCCTTGCATGGCCAAGTCAGAGCCCAGACAGATTTAACTGAACTTGAGCAGTTCTGCAAAGAAGAGTGATCAAATATTGCAACGTCTAGATGTTCAAAGTTCGTATAGACATATCCCAACAGACTAATCCAAACTGAAGAAGTCCTTTGGATGAGGGACGAAACGTCTTCCAGTATCTTCAACCAAGTCCAGTTGCCCTTGATTTTTTTAACCTTCGTTGGATGGCATGATCCTTGTTTCACAGCGAAGCTTCGACTGTGAGCTTGATCGTCGAATCAGGCTCCGCCCATCGAAGCATCGAATCTTCGACTATTTGGGGTCAGCACTACTACACAGCGTTTGAGTGAGAGCGAGGGCAGTTGGCTGTAGACTCATTTGTTTGCCTTTGGATGGACTACCTACAGTGTTTAAGTGACTTAGTTAGTACATTGTTACATACACTATATTGCCAAAGTTGGGAGCATGGAATTGTCCAAAATGTCTTGGTATGCTGAAGCATTAAGAGTTCCTTTCACTGGCAGTAAGGGACCAAGCCAAACCCCGGGAAAACAAACCCACACCATATCACCCCCTCCACCAAACTTTTCACTTGGCACAATGCAGTCGGGCAAGTACTGTTCTCCTGGCAACCGCCAAACCCAGACTCGTCCATGGGCTGGCTTGCCAGACAGAGAAGCGTGATTCATCACTCCAGAGAACACGTCTCCACTGCTCTAGTGTCCAGTGGCGGCATGCTTTACACCACTGCATCAACACTTTGCATTGCACTTGATGATGTAAGGCTTGGATCCAGGTGCTCGGCCATGGAAACCCATTCCATGAAGCTCTCTACGCACTGCTGTTCAGCTAATCCAAAGGCCACATGACGTTTGGAGGTCTTTAGCTATTGACTCTGCAGAAAGTTGACGACTTCTGCGCACTGTTACCCCGCTCTGATTTTATCTGGCCTACCAATTATACACCTGTGGCCATGGAAGTGATTGGAACACCTACTGTAAATTCAGTGATTCGGAGGGGTGTCCTAAAACATTTATAATATAATATCATAATATTTGGCAATATAGTGTATATGTGAAAACAGCTGAAACAACAACAAATGGTTAAGGTTAGAATTAGGCTTAGGGTTTGTGCGAAAATGTTCTCATTGGTGTGATAAAGTACAAACTTTGGTTTGCAACAACACTCTTATGTAAATACATCACCTAACAGCCCAACAAGTTCATAAAAAATGAAGAATTTCAAGGTTGAGAAGCAAGAAAAGCAACACAAGCTGGTTACAATTAGAGCCCTGCCAATGTATCAGTAATACTGATGCACCATATAACAGCCAGAACAAGCAACATAACAGAGCTGCTGTTGAAGAGTGTATCCAAAAAGACTCCTCAGAGTCATTAACCTCTGAGTGCTCTGTCTACCATGGTAACCTCATGATTTAAAAGCCCTTTTACCCAAGGAAAAACTGCCTATTTAATCCCATTATTTCCCACCGAGTGAAACCATGGTTTTTATATATATATATATATATATATATATATATATATATATATATATATATATATATATATATATATATATATATTTATTTATATATATATATATAGATGGATAGATATAGAGATAGATAGATATCTATATAGAACTACAGTGAAGTTCTCTACTAGGACCCTACATTTTTAAATGGTGGGAGATAGACCTCTACGCCTACCAGACATGAAGCCAAGTGCTACACCATGGAGAGTTTCCAACATCATTATCCGCTCACATCCGCTGCGCCATTTTTGAAAAGGTTTATTCACTGGTATATTCTGCAGTTGCATCACTATGACTAGTATTTGAATTTTTTTTTCATAATCATATCTGCTTAATGAGGTATTTTAAGCATAGGCTACAGGAAGGAAAAGTAAGGAAGACCATAGGTGAGGATGGGCAGTGAATGGGCCCATGTGCAACAAAATAGAAAACAATACTTTAACATAAAAATAAAAAGTGTAAAAGAAATTTTTTCTATGAATTATATGCAATAAAACATCAGGACAGCTGTAGTAGCAACAGTGATACATCAATAAGTAGTAAAGAAGCTGTGTTTTTATCACTCCTTAGCTGCGAAGTGCAGAAGAAGCCAGTCAGAAGAAGAGATGGGCCGAGGCCACTGACTCTGCTACAGAGGAAAAGCTCCAACAGATGAATAAAGAAATTAAAGAGCAGGAGGTGCTCATAAAAGGTTACCAGCAGGTTTGTTTCCCTTAATACTTATGTCTTAATGTGACTGTCTTCACTCTTCGTTTCTGCCCTAAATTTGTACGTGGCTTTCTCTTTGATATTGAGTTCATCTAATCTGTTTTTGCATATCCATTGTATTTCCCAACTCTAGGACTCTGTGTTTGTGGCAGACATTTTGGGTTAACTTTGTTACTGTGCAAGGATGCAGACAAAATGTAATTTTACCACCACGGTGGTTCAGGTTGTGTTCCCAGCTGTAGCCACCTCTGGTGTTTGGAGGGGGTTGGCTTGGGGAATTGAGAGTTCATGTTCTAGTTGTTGCATCAGGAGTTTTTAATATTTGTGCACTGGACTGCAGTAAGACTACGTTTATTTTCCAGGAGAACGAGAAGCTGTATTTACAGATGAAGGCTCAGCAGGCCAACAGTAAAGCCAACGAGGAGGCCATGTTTGATGAAAACCAGAGACTGCTAAATGAGCTGGCTTTCACAAGGTGGGTTCAGTAAAGATCCAAGCTGTGACCTGTTTGTGAATGATTTATTGCTTGTGCATGACTTCCAAATATGGATGTCCATTTAAATGAATGTTGGCCTTCTTATAAAATTTACCTTTTGAAATGACTTTTTTTTTCAGAAATGTCTTGTTCAGTGTTTGTTTATTCTATGGTATTTTTCATCTGCACCAGGGAGCAGCTGAATAAAACCTCTAGGCCTGTGGGAAACGTCTGCTTATTGGATCACACTCAACGCATCACAGACTTGTTGGCTCAAATAAATACCTTTCAGGTAACTACCGCAATCACTGAAATACTGTTAGACTTGAGTTCTGTGTCAGCCCCTCTCTTACCACAGATGTTTCTGTGTGCAGAGAAATGAGGCCAGGCTGTCTGAGGATATTCACAGACTGAAGCAAGAAAAGCAGGCTCTAGATGTGGACCTTCAGCTATTGAAGAAAGAGAGAGACCTAGCTAAAGCTCAAGCTGTGTCGGCCTCAGGTAAAACTGGACACAGAACAGTGGTGGTGGAATTCAAATATCCAAGAACGGTTTATCTCATGTGGTAGAGCGCGCGGCCGAGTCCTTATTGCCCAGGTTCTTGGCTGCGTGTCGCACCCCCTTCTCTCTCTACCTCGTTTCCTGATCTATCCACTGTGTATCCAATAAAGGACAAAAATTCCCATAAAGGGAGCATAAAGTGAACCCTGTGTTGTAAAATAATAAACAAATATACCCTGTCTAATGTGCAATATGTATCATAATATAATATGTTTGTAAATTATATTGTATGTAAATAATTACTCTTTGAAATGTGTATATATCATATCATATTATGTGTGTAGTGATCTTTGGTTTAACTGACAATGTGTATCTGTCCTGAATGTGTCAGGAGACAAGACGTTTGAGATTCGTGTCTTGGAGAACAAGCACAGAGAGGAAGTGGCGGCCCTGAAGAAGAAGCTGCAGTGGTTTGCTGAGAACCAGGAGCTGCTGGACAGAGATGCTGGCAGACTGAAGGCTGCTACAGCTGAGATTCACCGGCTCAAAGAGCAGGTCAGGCTCTGCTGTCATCACATTCTAGTTATTTACTCACTCTCATTTCATTTACCTTCAGAATTTATATAGAGGTCTTCCTCGTCTTACGTTGTCATGTTATGTTATCAATTCTTTGCTTTAATGTACATCGAATAAACCATGAAAACATGGTTCCTGTGAAGTTTTCCTGCTCTTTAATAAAACCTGGCTCCCCACCATTATACCAGGTGGACAGGTGATTTTTTGCTGGATTCTTTTTTCAGCGTAGTGTCCAACCACAGATGAATTCAATGACATCATTCAAAAACATTATGGATTTAAAGAGCAAGTGAACACCCAATTGTAGTTTTAACCCCTGTCTCAGTTTTATTCAGTACAGCTGTCTGCCCTGGCAAAGTTACAACATGCGTTTTACTCACATAATTGCAGCTCTACAGTCTGTTGCACGCTTTCAATCACTCCATCTCTCGTCCAAAAGGAGACTTATAGATGTAACTACTGTTCTATTTATTGTGGATGACTGCATGGCGATTTGCTCTCTGGTGATGAGGACGAATTAAATAGAACTGTCCACACATCTGAAAGTTGATAGCTGAATGTTGCCCAGATAAGACTGAGTATGGTGTCACAGAAATCAAATTATAGATTTTTTTAGTTTTGTCTATAGGACATGAGTCCCATTTTATCAAGACCTTTAAGAGCAGAATTAAGTCCAAGCTGGGCCAACATGGCTCCTATCCCGGCTCCCTTTCCCCTCCTCTGAGCGATTGCCGCATCCGTCATGGCGCCTGGTCCACTTTTTTGGGCCTGGTGGATCATGGTCCGACGCTTTTTAGTCCAAAACCCCTTCTTCCTTTTCCAGTAACTGGATTTCTGTTATATGTAACACATGTTTTAGCAATAAAGCCGGAAAAAACAGATGAAAAACAAATGTGAAGTGAAGTTTGAAGAAGCTACCGGCTGCTGCTGCTGCTGCTGCTGCTGTTTCTACATGCATGTAGATAACCAGAGATCTAACCATACATTTAACATTAAGTCTTTAAACTCTAACAATGCTAGATAGTTTGTAGTAGCTGTACATTATTGATGTTTTAAAATGTATAAAACAACTGCATTGACACTTAAAATTCAAATGACGACACAGAAGTCAAAGTAATGCATTGCATTTCAGTATTGTCCAGGAGAGGGCAGCATAGACCTGCCAATTTGAAAATCTGAAGCAGAGGTGAAACCATCATTTGTCCATTTACTGTAGTTACATGTTTGTAAATGTACAGTCAGCAGTAGCGTACCTGCAGTTTATTGTGTGGGCATCACCTTGTGAGGCTGCAGCTGCTGAAGGATCAGAGACCTTGGAGGTTCAGCTATGATGTGGGGCAGTAGCGTTGCTTACCGTGTTGGAAATGACAGGATGTCCGCATTTCAGGTAGAACACCTGAAAATGGATGTGGGCAAAAGAAGCAGTGAGCAGCAGAGAAAGGCCAGAGAGAAAACGGGGGACACTAAGAGGATGCAGGACCTGGAGCGACAGGTTTCTCACACAAACAAACACACTCGCTAATCAAACTTGTTACACTCCCTCCCTTCCTGCTCCGGTTTCTTCACTGTTTAAGTGTCTTTCTCTCTTACCAGGTGAAGGAGCTGGAGCAGATATTAAGATGTAGAAACCCAAACTCCCTGCAAGCTCTGATCTACGCTGCAGCCACAGCTGGGGGTCAAGAGGATGTGGAGGCTGCCAAGACGTCCCCGCCCAGTGGGATCAATGCCCTGCTGGAGCGCAGGATTCAGCGTCTGGAGGCTGAGCTAAGAGAGTCATGATGAGGAGGCCAAGCGCAGCCTGCGGGCCATGGAACAACAGTTCCACAGGATCAAGGTATAACTGAAGTCAATACAGAGTTTTCTGCTGTATGATGCAGTTGTTAAAATGATGTGACAGTGTGAGGAGAATATATTAATCATGTATTTGCTGTTAGTATTATTACAGTAGCATTTTACACTGCAAGCTTGTAACCTATGCTCAGTGAAGGTTTAGTAATACTGAGTTAAAGTTTCATAGTCAGGGCCTGTATTTATCAAACTTGCTGTGAAGAGTATTTAGGAGAAACAAAATTCTTTGCTGAGCTTGAGCAACAAGACACATTTACCTAGAGACTTTTACTCCTATTGACAGCAAAGTGTGACATTTAAAATCAGGGTAAGCAATTCAGGAGAAAATCCATTTCATGACAAACATCATAATATAGAGAAAACAATGACACAGCAAGTAATGTAACTAACGTTAGCTAAGATGTGGGTTAGCAAACCTTCGCTACAGTTGCTACTGGGAAGCTAACATGAAGTTAACATGCAGAGAGGACGAGACTGTCCCAGAGTAGCCACAGCAGCTCCAGACAGCGATACTCACAACTGTCCTGCTACTGTAGCTTTCATCACAATAACAGCATAGTCTTAGTGAACTGGAAAGTAAGCTGAAAGTCTGTGGACAAGTCATTTAACGTTAGCTGACGCAAATCATGACTGGAAAAGTGTTGTGTGGTTCAGTCCAAGCCACTCAAAAAAAAAAACGCTGTACACGACCTGCTCAGCTCCAAACAGCAGACAGACACAGTTTGACTCTAGTTGGTGAACATAGTGGAGCATTTAGCAGCTGAACAGCCAGATGTTTACTCAGGAGTTGATAGAGACCCAGCACAGAGCTAAAGGAGATCTCCACAACTTCAAATGGAGGCTAATGTTGCTCTGTAACTGCTGGATGTGTAAATAAGTTCACCATATAAATTATATCAAAACAAAATGATGATGTCAGTAACTTGTTTTTTACTGCCCTCAAGTGGCCACAAAAATCTGTAGTTTCAGGTTGAATATTTCCATTTGCAATTAGCATGGGAAATTCATATTTATTATTTATAGAAATGTAAATGCTCCGTACTTGTATAGCGCCTTTCTGGTCTTTTTGACCTCTCAAAGCGCTTTTACACTACATCTGCATTCACCATTCACTCACATTCATTCACTGAGCCTAAGTGCTCAAACAGAAACTAACATTCACTCACATTCATTCACTGAGCCTAAGTGCTCAAACAGAAACTAACATTCACACACAGTCACACACTGGCGGAACAGCCGCCAGGGGTTTTCGGGGTAAAAGTTGATTTGTAAAATGAACAAACAGAAAGGCTTCAGCACGTGTGTCTGTGTGCGTTGTTTAGCTTCGCTATGAGCAGCAGATCTCAGGACTGGAGCAGCAGCTGGAACAGAAACATCAGCTGGAAACAACACACTCAGCAGCTGGGGCCGAGCCATGGATGTCGCAGGTTCGAGCACTGGAGGAGGAGCTGCAGCGTGTAAAGGAAACCCACCAGGACAAGGAAAAGTCCCTCCAGGACCAGATTGAGTCTCTCCACCAGCAGCTCAAACACAAGGCTGGTGCTACCCAGGTCATTAAAATGCAAAAAAGCTTTCTTGGCTAACCTTCTTAGCCACATTGCTGCCCTACATTGCTACCACATGTGTCAATGAAAGGAGTATTAATTAAACACAACTTTTAGACAGAAACGTGAGATTCTTTGCTGTGGATGCTTCAAATATAGGACTATTAATATATTAATAATATATAATTAATATATATATATATAATATATTGCACTGTGTGTGATTAAGCAAACCCAAGGACAGAAAATGAAATCTTGCCTGTACAAACTGATGCAAACCTTTCCCCCTACAGGCCCAGCCAAGTCCAGGCCGACACCAGCGTCAAGCCGAGGAAGCATTTGGTGTCCGGATAGAACGGCTGAACCAAGAGCTCGCCACCAAGACAAGGACCATTCAGGAGCTGAGCCGCACTGTGGAGAGACTGCAGAAGGAGAGGCGGAGCATGTTGTCTGTCCCCAACCCACGACCAGAAACATGTGCTACAGAGACCAAACGACAACCAGCCAAAACCGTCTGTTCTGCTACTACAGCGGAGACACGTGGAGGGGAAGAAACGTTTCCAGCTGCTCATTATGAGAAGACCTACCAGCCCACAGTCTTTACAGGTATGGATGTGGCCCTTTTGTTGGGGCTAATTTTCCTCTGCATGCGAAAATGTGTTTTATATGCCCTTATATCCAAAAACACAAAATAACTAAAGGGAGCAGTGCTTGTTGTGACTGTGTTAACCGGCTGTTTCCAGCCAAAGGGCTTGTTAGCTTCTGAGATTCTTTAATATGCCACATGGTTACTGTGGTTGTGTTACCATAATGGGAATAGGTCTGCATGTCACTTTTTGATAGTTGTGAGCAGGGCTTCTGCATTGCAGAGCTTGTGGTGTAAAAAATTCAAGGCCTAAGCCGATAAGAAAGCTTGACCTTTTACCAACATTTTTATTATCAACAAAAATAGACACCACTTAGAGTACAAAAGTTTCACCGGAATGTGTCAGAGATTGATGCAAAATAGAGCCCCATTCTGTTACCAGAACAGCGACCCAAGTTGACATGAAAACCATGTAACAACTGACTTTCAACTTCTTCTGGACATCCTTTTTGTAGCTCTGTTTCTAAGCATTATGTCTCAGATTTTTGCGTGCCTCAGCCGCCATCACAACCACCGCTTTCCATCCTTTCAGCTTTTGGTGAATTTTTATCACTTTTACTTCACTGTTTTGGATGTCTCTCTTTTCTCATTGGTTTCCATCCTTTCGGTGGATTTTTATTTAACTAGGATTGTTTTTTGACTGCACTGCTCCTCCTCTCTGTGTCCTTTGCATGCCTTCTGCAGATCATACTATTTCAACCAAAACTTGACTTTGTGGAATAAGTTGTGCTCTGTGCTAGAAACAGGACATTCAATTCAATTCAATTTCAATTCAAATTAGCTTTATTGGCATGATAACAACAATATTCCCAAAGCATCATACAAACTACATAAGAACCCCATACATTTCATTAAACATTCTTACTGTGATGGAATATATTGATGTAAGTTTTGTGACACAATTTTCACAAAATCTGCTTCTGCATTTTCCTTTGCTGGTGTTTTTGGTGCTATGTGTCCGCCTCTATCTCTGCCAAAGCTCACATGCTTGCATACACACCCACACGTGCTACTTCAAATCTGCCTCTAACATTTCCAGTGACACTTGGCAAGAAAGGCAAAAATAAAAAGCCCGTCCAGACCAAACATTGTTATTGGTGAACGACAGCCACAACTGAGACAAGTCAGCATCCAAACACCCATGAAACCAAGTCCAGACAAAAAATGTCAAAAGACCAGACTTGTGTACTACAGCCCTGGTCTGTTAGAGAATGTGAAACTGGCCAGTGGTGTTATTCTCAAAAAAGGGAGAATTCTCATGTATCATTGTTATTGACTACAATTGTATGTGATTAAAAAACAGATTAAAACTTTCTACATTTATTATTTTTCTAAAGCTGTGGCAACATGTACCCTTGAACCTAGCTAGTTACATTTTTGAATTGCGAGTCTGGCTCGATAATAGAAGCTCTCCGGTGTTCCCTGCTACAATCTCGGATGCAGCTAAAGCCCCCTTACGTGGACACCTTATTTCCTATAGCTCTCATCAGAAAAAAGCCTTAGTGGAAAACAGAAAAAACCTTTAAAAAGAAGTGGAGCAAATTCATAAACAGTCACCCACACTTGACTGACCATACTCTCCAGCTCCTTCACCTGGTAAGAGTCTTCTTCTTGGCAGCACTAGTGGCTGCCAAGACTGAACTTAATATGGACCATACTCATCACGTCCAGAAGCGATTTACTTACTTTAGTACTTTACACTCAACAGAAATATTATGAATTTGGTAATAAGTCCAACCGCCTGCTTACCCACCAACTGAAAAATCCAAATAGTGATCGCTCAATTAATAGCATAAGAACACAGAACGGGGATGTCACGTGTGACCCTGTGATTGTCAATAGCACATTCCGGAAAGAGGAGAAATTCTGGCCTTAGATTCACCCAATTTTTATGCCTGCCATTAATGGTATTTTAAGGGACAGCACATCAGAATTAACCCTGATATATCTGGAGATAGAATAGGTGAAGAAAAACACATTATTTCTTTCTTTGCAGACAATGTCCTCTTGTATCTGAATAAACCTGAGAAATCAATCTCAGCAGTTTTGGTAATCTGTGGCCACATTCAGAAACTTGTCGGGTTATAAGATTAACCCAGGGAAGTCTGTCGCTACGCCCTTTAATATCCCCCAGGATATGTCAATACAATCTCCTTTTCAAGTGTCCAGGAGGGGTTTCAAAAACTTAGGTATCTTTGTCAGTCCTGATTTAAATAATCTGTTTGAAACTAATTACTCACTCCTAATTCAAAAGTTTAAGAACGATCTGACAAAATGGGCCTCCATTCCAACTTCTCTCCTTGGGAGAATCAACACTATAAAAATGAACATTCTCCCTCGATTGAACTATGTATTTCAAAATCTCCCGTGCTACTTGACCGCTGCCTATTTTAAGACTCTCTGAATTCTCATATTTCTCACTGTATTTGGAACAACAAGCACGAGTTAAATTCTCTATACTTACTAAGCCAAAGGACTTGGGGGGCTTGTCCCTGCCTAATCTACAAGTACATAATTGGTCAGCACAACTGGTTTATGAACAGGAAAGACTCCTTATGGTTGAGTCTTGAATCCAGAAGGCTTAATTCCCTTACTTTTATCAATAATATAGATCAGTTAAATTAGCTCAAGAACAACATAATTGTTTTTAATGCTTTACTGGTTTGGCAAGATGTGAAGAAATACCTGAATATTCCCCCTATCATCTCTCTTCATTCTTCCCTGGCTCTGAATCCAGATTTACCAGCACAGATTAAGAGTCACAGCTGATTTTAATATTCCCCGCAAAGATTTTTATAAATATCTCCAAATTCGTCACTTTATAGGGTCTCTCTTGAGGACAGGCGGGATCGTCTTGAGACTGTTAGAGCTAGAAAACATTATACTTCTGGACAAATCTCCCAAAGGACTGATTTCCGAGATGTATACTTCATTACTTTATTCTAATTCTTCAGGCTATGACTCTCTGAAGCTGTTGTGGGAGCGTGATCTGGAGGTGATGTTCAATATGTAGACTGGGACAAGATCTGCAGCGGGGTTTTCCCTAAATGTACTTCAATCTCTATACATGAACAGAACTAAACCAAACTTATTACACCTGTTCGCCTCCAGAGAATGTTCCCTGACACCTCCAACCTTTCTTATAAATGTAATCTACACAAAGGTATATTTATCCACTTGTTTTGGTCATGTGACAGAATCAATGATCATCTTTGTGTCTACTTAACCATACTCCAGACAAGCTCTCGGACACGGACACCAAATGTCTGTTGATAAATCTTTTGTTTTTGGCTAAAAAATGTATCTTGCTGCGGTTGCGAACTCCCCAGATCCCTACAGTTTGACATGTGGATATCACAGATTTCTGCTCTTATTCCTCTTTAGAAGTTGACTCATGACCTTAATAACTAATCGGACAAGTTTTGGAGGATCTGGGAACCGTTGCATTCTTTTTTACAGAAGCTATAGCTTACCATCTGTCCCTGGACGATGAGGACTGTTTGTCCTTTCACTTATTTCATGAAAGTGCTCTTTGTTTACCTGTCCCTTGTCGTGTTTTTATTTACTTACTTATTTTATGTACATGTAGAAATATATAGCGCATCACTCACTGTTAGTTTGGGGTGGGACTTTTGTGTTTTGTTTTGTTTTGTTGCTTATAAAAATGAAAAACCAATAGAGTATTACAAAAACTTAGCTACTTAAAAAAAAAATACACACTTGTTTCTGAAATTGACCACAGTCATGAGGAAATCTCAGTGAAAGACTGAATGGTACATAAAGGTAGAGGTTAGTTTGCATCACTGCTCTCATGTCTGCTATATGTTTAATGGCTCTGTACGGTCTCCCATGGCTGAGGGAGCCTCAGTTTCTGCCATTGCCTTTTATTGTTGCATCTTTTTGACAGGCAGTCACATCTCAGAAGTTCTGCAGGAGAACGAGGCTCTGAAGCAGCGTCTGGACCTGCTGGAGCTGCAGAGTGAGCAGGACAAGGAGGCGTTAAGGGCTGATGCTGTACAAGCCGTGAAGGAGCTGTGCAGGTGTGTGTGTCGGGAGTGAACACATTAATTGACGTGTTCTGCAGAGCATGGATGTGAAATAACTGAGTGTGGTGTGATGTGCTAGGCTAAAGGAGGACTCTGCAGAGCAGCTGTCCTCTTTGAAAGCAGAACACCTCAGGGTGTTAGACCAACTGCGTGCCACCCATGCCCTGGAACACTCCTCCTCTAAGGTTGCTGAACTGGCCAATAAGCTTAACACTCAGGAGGTACTGGCTCACTAAAGCAACCAGTCTCATGTCAACAGATAATCCTGAAAATGATCCCGTAGCTCTAACCTTCACATTTAATTGCAGTTGATGGTGAAACATTTGCAAGAGCAGCTGAAAGAGCTGCAGAGAGCTAAAGAAGAACTGAAGGTATCCAGGACCCGAGAGGATGTTCTGCAGAAGCAGGTGGTGGTCCATTCTTTTTCCTGCAAGAAATATTTAATGGCAGAAGACTTCAGCTTATTTTTTGTCTCCTGGATTTATGTGTGATATAGGGCTGCTCGATAATGGCAAAAATCTGAATCACGATTATTTTGGTCATAATTGAAATCACAATTATTAACACAATTATTGACTGACTGAGGAAATAACATGCATTTATTGAACTTTTAAAACGAAATGCTTCATGTTTTAAAAATAATTATGTATTATCCAAAATATCTAATGAAATAGGAATCAAATATCCTAAACTTTATACAGCATCTTCGAGCCAGACAGCAACGCTGTGTGTGTGTGTCAGTGCGCACACACACACGGAGTGGAGCAGAGGTGAAGTATTTGAGTTGACAACACCTCGTTATTTTACAAAACGCTGAACAGTGGCGTCCCATTGGGAGATTCAGCTAGCCGCTAGGCTAATTTTTGCAGTGTAAAATACAGACAGGCTTGAAGCTGATAACGGTGAACAGCAAGTTGTAGCAGTTATCACCCCGTCTTCTCGGCTCAAGCTAAAGTAAACATGCAACAGCCTGCTGACAGTGAGTTTAGGCTTTTAGGGAGGGTTGGGGGCGCCGCAGTAAAAGAAAGGGTACGCTGGATTTATAACACAAGACGAAAAGGAGTTTTATTGTGAAACAGTGTGCACAAAAATAGGCCTAATCGTTTTAAATCGATTAACTTGTTTTTCTAATCGTTGGAAGCCGAATCGAATTCGATTAATTGCAATAGCCCTCATGTGATAAAGTTTTGTCTTGATTTTATTATTAGCAAACATAAACCACCTGAATGCCACCTGAAACATGACCTCCAAATAGTGAAGTCAGCATTGTCACAGTGACACAGTCAGGCGCATTTTAGGCCATCCAGCATCTTTTGAACCATAAACACAGAAAGTGTGCTGGATTATCACATTTCAATTTAACCAGGATAAAAAGTCCATTGCTTTGTTTAGCGTTTTAACATGAACTCACTGCTCCCACTTTGTGTTTAGCTGACCACACTGCTGAAAGAGCTAAAGGAAGCTACTGATGCTCAGAGCCCAGAGGTGAAGCTCCTGTGTAGCCTCGAGAGGAAGATCCTCAACATGGAGCTCAGACACCAGCACAGAGAGAAGGAGCTGCAGCAGGTAAGTTACTGTTTAAATGAAGCTTAAGGTAATGTTTAAATGGCTCCCTGGTTTGGCAAGTACGGTGATATGTAGCATAAAGTGCCCCCCCCCCCCCCTGCAGGTGATTGGTGGGTCCTGGCAGACGCTAGAGGCTGATCAGCAGTCAGAGGTGGAGCGCTGGAGGCGTCTGGCTCAGGACAAGAGCAGAGAGCTGGAGGCGTTCCGTCTGGAGCTGGACTCCATCCTGGACATCCTGAAACATCTCCAAAGACAGGGAGTGGTCCTCCCCACTCTTAACTCCCCCATCACAGCCCCCCTCACCCAGAGGAGTTAATGCACAGACAAGGTTTGACCGACACGTCAGTGAACAGTAGTGCTGATAATTGTGCACTGAAGCCAAAGCTTGACACCATAAGCAATAATGAATATCTCCACATTAGACCGGGTTCAGGTGAAAGGACTCCCAGTGACGGCCAGTATAATATTAGCAACCACATGTCAGAGATAGATGATGCTTCCTGGTCCACGTCAGCAGCTGCCTCAGCATCAGCAACACTTCATGTTAACACATACAAACAGAAATAAAGCAACAGCATGCTCAGAATCTCTTTGTACACATCCTGCTCCTGCTCCTGATGTTTGGCTGGATATTTTGTAGCTAGCTTCAATTTTTGTATTTAAGTTATTGTAAGTTATTTTAGGGGTAGTGAAAAATAAAAGTCTTAACTGTGATAACTTGCGTTCACTTTCTCCTTTCATACTCTCTACCCCAGACAGTGTCAACGTTTTAAGTAATCTATCCCACTTCACCCTGATCTTAAGGATGAGTTGTCATGGTTTATCAAACGGTCGCCATCACAATTTGGCTGTAACATTAGGTGTTAATGTTATTTCCATGGAGTCTAACATTAGCTGGCATACTTGATATTCCAACATTCCTGACATTTGGGCTCTGGGACTGCTTGTGTAACGTTACTAATGTTACCATTTTGCTGATGATTACAACATAAGCTGATCTCCTAGGCCAATGTGCCAACTTCATGTTAATGCTAGACCCTGATAGTTCCATCCAAAAGGCTAATACTGTCAAAACCACAATGTAATGGAACAGTTTGCTTTAGGAAAGCAATGATGTTCTGGAACATGAGACATTTAATCAAGCTAACCCTTGGGGATGTGTGGGTTTCTCACCTTTTTCACCCTTGATCACTGTTTATTATTTCAATAGTCTACTGAAGGGTCTTGCGGATATTAACTAAGGATTTGTGGCTCTCTTTTGGGTGCTAAGAAGTCAGATTGCTTATTTGATAACACAACATGTATGTTAGAGCCCAAACTGTGGGGTTAGAAATTTGAAATGGAATTTTACACAAATAGCTGCTGCACCTGACATTTTATTAGTTTACAGTCTGTTGAGATTCATCTTGAGAATGAACAGAACTCTCCCCTGTTTAATTATGTTGCTGATCTTTTTGTTGAACTGCTGACATCAGGCTTGTAAACTCAAACTCCCTCACATACAGTATAGGACTGCAGTATCAAATGTGTCTTCTCCTCTGCAATATTCCCAGCTCAGCAACAGAGAACACGTTTCTTTTCCCAGCTGTGTCTTAACATCCCAATATAAGGTCCTTTCTAGTGGCTCTTCATTTAAACCAGCTCAGCTACATCCTTATAGTAAATGTGGCAACAGGTGTTGTGGTCCTGACGGTCATTTGCTGTAGCCTTACTAAATATCCACAAAAGTGTGGTACTAAAATGAAAAGCTTTTATCTACATGGGAGCATGAACAAGTTTAGCAAGACTGAAGGGAATCTGTTTATTCTACTGAGATATATCATATATTTGGAGAAAAAGTCATATTGCGACTACTGTGGACAATATTGCGATTCGATTATAATGGAACAAACGGTCTACTTGCTTGATTATCAAGAAAAATGCACAAAATACTGACATTTTGAAATGTGTATTTCTCAACTTAAACAAAATTGATCGATAAACAATATTTATAACAATAACGAGTAAAACAGATGTAAAAGAAGGGGAGTGTGTTGCTGTCAGGAGGCGGTTAGGAGGAGCTCATATTGGCACACTGGCTTCCTGGCTCTGGCTAAATCTACATTATCCACAACCTAGAGGAGGAACTAGTATACATGAGTGTATGTACATTACATATACATTAAATACAGAGTATAAGGATCAGCAAATAGTTTACAGTTAGTATAACAATAATTTTATATAATAGTATACTATTTTACCACTAGTTGAATATTAAATCTAGTTACAGCTGTTTCATTTCTGTGGGGGGTTCCGGTGGCGAGTCCGATTATGTTTTGAACGATTAGTGGCGGGGCAGGGAGAGGTCCGTCAGACACGATTTATTTCTTAAAACTTGAAAAGTAACCTCGGACTAAAAGGCCTAAAGAAGACTTAAAAGGTAAAATTTAAAATTAAATTTTTCACTGATAACTCAGACTTATCTAATCATGTACTAAAGGAGCGTTACCTGTAGCGATGGGTATCGCTTCTCTGTACCTTTATGGTTCCGGCCGAAACAGCCCGGTATCGAGTAGAATCGAAACGTCTCCAGTCAAACCGGTACTTCAATCGATACCTAGGCCTACTTTTTGTAACCAGATCGCGGCAAAAAATGACTAATTGTATGATTTTGCTTACAGCCAAACACGTAAGCAACACACGAGAAGAGCACGCCTTTATAAATAAAAAAGGTGCGCGCGCGGAGTCCAAGCGTGATTTTAACAGCCGCTCACCTTCGGCTGCGGTCTCAGGCATGTTCGTCCCTGTTTATCACCACAAGCTCGGCTTTCCGTTGGTTTCATCTTCTGGTATCAGTTAACACTTCTCTGTATATTTGTATTTGCTATTAACATCACTTGTCACCGATCAGCTGATTTTACTGACGGAGCCTCCGGTTGCAGCTGGGGGATGCTTTAGCGTAGATTAGTGACTTGTTTAAATAGAAGGCTTTCTTGTTTTATTCTTGTGACTCGTATTTTCGGAGGTTTGCGGCTCCCCACTGAAGGAAAAAAGCACTCGGGGTGATCTTTCAATTAACTTTCAACACAAAAAATTTGTTTCCCACATCTTATTTGGTCACTAAACTATTTCACTCCTCTCTCATTCAAATATAAAATGCCTCCCAAGCTGCAGTTTTCCCCGTATGGGCAAATACTACCAGTGAGGATGACCTAATTAGGATGGGGAGCGATGTGATAAAATTTCCCAATACTTCTAGCAGTTATTTGAAACAAGAAAAATATTAAATAGATAACCTTGCTTGTCCATAACAACAATAAAAATAATTATAAGCTACCAATCAGGTGACATTTTATGCAAGGTATCGAATGAAGTACTAAATTGGTATTGGTATCACTTTAAGGGTACTTGGTTTGGTACTTGTATAGTAAAATTTTAAACAATACCCAACCCTAGTTACCTGTGGAGATCAGCTACCAGGCTGCATGAATACATTATTATGACGCCCCCAAAACTTACTTGCTACAGATAATTATAAAAATGCATTTGTGAATCGAGCCATAGCAGGGGAGTCTCAAAACACCCACACACAAATGCACATGACAAGCCGTTTATAACATCCAAACAGGTTTTTAATTAAATTTGCAAATACTTTTAAATACATATACTCTGCATAAAAAAAGAAGAAATGTCCTCTCACTCTCACTGCTTCTATTTTCCAGCAACTTAACATGGAAATATTTATATGAACATAAAAAGATTCAAACAACTAAGACAAACTGAACAAAGTTTCACAGACATGTGAATAACAGAAATGGAAAAATGATTTCCTGAACAAAGGAGGGGTCAAAATAACAAAAGTAACAATCAGTATCTGGTGTGGCCCTGTGCAGGTGTCGCATGTGGTCGTCCACTGTGAGGACGATCAGCTGTCCTTCCTGTGTCGCTGTAGCGTGTTCTCGCAGATGAGCAGGGACGCTGGACATCTTTCTTTGGTTTTTCTAGTCAGTAGAAAGGTCTCTTTAGTGTTCTAAGTTTTCAAAGTGACCTTAACTGCCTGTATGCTCTAAGGGTCTTAACGACCGTTTCACAGGTTCATTGAACAAGCATGAAAAACATTCTTTACAATAAAGATCTGTAGAATTATTTGTTGTTTTTTGTTAATTATCTTTAAAATATAGTGTCCTGAAAAAGGGACGTTTCTTTTTTTTTTTTTGCTGAGTTTATATTTATGGATTTTTATTGTGTTTAATGAAACTAGAAAGATTTGTGTGTGTGTGGATCAGAAATACATGTGTTAACCTTTGTTTTTTAATTTATGGGTTTGTTTTACATTTATATACAATGATAAATATTTTGCATGGAGAGAGTCATTTAAATATAAATCCAGAAATTTGTGAACCCTTCTACATGAATACAGTAATACTGAGACTGACATGAAGCAGCCAGATGGACGCCCACATCAGCTGCCTTTTTAAAATGAGATTCAGTTAAATAATTGGTCTCCATTGGGAAGCAGGAGCAAAACCAAACAAAAGCAGCAGACTAAGACACTCCTACACTAACTGGGATTATCAGAATCCATCTCAAAGGCAACATGCAATCATAATAAATCCATGAGAAATGTATTCTGTAGTATAACAAAGTAACACTGCTGCTCCGCAGGCTGCAGAGGCGCGGTGAGTTGTAGGGCAGTAAGGCGGTAAGGCAGATTTATTTCCACACATATTACATTACAGGTAAACTCAACATGCTGTACATTTAAATGAATACAGTATGTATAGAGCAATACCATTAATAAAATGCAGCAAAGAAAGTTACAAACACGCACAGAGTCACCAATCAGGAGCCTCAGAAACCAGGAAGGTTTTGAATGTAGACACATTTGTGATGCAACTCATCAGGCAGTTTGTAGAAACTAAAAACAGCCTTACTAGGTCAAGGCCTTTTTTTTTTTTTAATTAAACTGACATTTTGGATTTGAGTGAAAAATAAAAGTAAACATCTTACACTTTTATTACACAGCTAACAGAACACAGATACTGTCTTTATTATGTGGTGTGGGCTAAAAATAGTCCACACCACATAATAACCCCCTCAAGAGTCCAGGGGCCTCTTGAGGGGGTTGAGAATATGTACATGGCAGCAATACAGAGAAGGGAGAAAATACACTCCTTCTGGGATTCAGTTTTATCGATACAGAGCCCATTCATAACAGAAGTTATTGCTCTTTTCAAACCGAGCAGGTCTAGACCGTACCCTGTACTATTTGTGTTCCTTTTTGTGGAATGACTGAGCAAACAGACCCTTAACCTTAATATCTGTTTTATCCAGTAGCAGAATGCCCTCCCTTAAGCAGTTTGCTTTTCTTTTTGTTTCCATTTCAGCTATTTTACTCTTATTTAGGCAAAAAGATTAGTTTAAATTGTTATTTAATAATTCCACATTTATTTATTTCCGGGGACATTTATTTCCCTGCTGTTTTTATTTCCATCTGTTATATTTAAATGAATGGGACGTTGTTATTTAACAGATTCAGACCAAATCACCAAGACCAAACACTCTCTGAGACCGACATGCAGTACCTATTTTATTCTAACTGCAGTTAGTTATTTTCATTTAAGGGTCCTTTACAGACACTTAAGTACTAGGACTGTGTAGGGCTGGACAATAAAACAATAACAATAATTATCGCAATATAATTTTTTTCAATAACAATATAACAAATGTTGAATAAATATTCAATAAATCTTTGATTTTATTCACCTGAAAAATAAACTAATTAGGACTTAATTTTTTTATTAAGATTTTTATTTTGTTGAGGAAAAAGGACTGATAAAAGCTATTACTTAATTTACTCACGCATATTTGTTGACAAAGATTTTATCATAATAGTTTTGAATGTTCTACCTCAGATTTGTGAAGTGATCTGCTGTTTGGCCTCAAGTGATGACTATAAACCACAATAACCATCAGGTTTCTTCAACTTTCACTCAGGAGCTAAAATCAGCCCTTAAACTCCAAAGCATTAACGATTTGATACTTATCGTGATAATTATCGATATCGAAAGATATGAAACTTTTTATCGTGATAACATTTTTGCCCATATCGTCCAGCCCTAAGTCTGTGTAAAGTCAAAGTCAGGTCTTACTAGTTGTCCTGCTGTTGTTTGCACTTCCTTGACTCTGCAACTAAATATCCTGGTGATTAAATGTGGGCTGTACAATGAGAGTTACTACCTGCTAGACGTTTCTGTCTCACCTTCAACTATCCCATTCAGTAAATCCTATATTTGTAAAACCTAAAGGACAGTACCCACCCAGGTCAGCCTGTTCACCTTGCTGCCTTCTGGGATATAGAGGTTTCAGCTGCTGTACCACCAGACTGCAGAGCAGCTTCTTTCCTCAGCCTGTGAGACTCCTCAACTCCACTATAAATAAATGACATGAAACCTTTATGCTTTGCACATTGACATACCACTAACTTGTTTAATATGAGTAACTGTATTATGTTTTAATATTTATTTTTATTCTAATCTAGTTTTAAATATTTGTATATATGTACCTTGGATCTTGTATGGATAACTTAAAGGTTCAGCGTGTAAGTGTTAGCGGTATCTAGTGGTGAGGGTTGTGAATTGCAACCAGCAGCACCGTGGTGCATTCATGATGGTCCCATTTACCGAGCGGTGAAGTCGTTCTTCTGACTTCAGTGTGTGTTCATGTGCTCTTAAGTCAGAATGTGGAATCAACATGGACGCTGCTACAAAGATGTGTTGGATTAACATTATCAGAGCATATAAACAACACGCATATGTTTAGTTCACTGTACATGAACAGCAAACTAACCTTTATAACCACATTACATGTATATGCAATATGTGATTTTGCACAAATCAAAGTTCTTTTTATTTCTTGATGTCCCATGTACACTATTTCTATTTTTCAATAAAAATTTAAGGAGGAAAAAAAGATTCCATCAGTCACCGCTCACCCCTCCATTTGCAAGCGAGCTAAATAAATTTTATATTTCTCTTCTTTTCTTACTTCTAATAAACCAGTCGACTGCTAATACTAACGCTACTTCTTCTTTTTGGTATGAATTCATCATAGTGACGAAATGCGCTCTGTAGAACTGTTTCTCCATTTGGGCTACTGTGGAAACATGGCGGCGCAACATGCCGAGGGCCTGCGGTGTATGCAGAAGGTAATGAAAACATAACGGTTCATTATGTAAGGTCTGCAGCTTTTCAGACCAACTAAACACAGCATTAAAGACATTGACGTTTGATGAGTAGCTGCTCTCAACTCTCCAGGCTTATGTGAAATTCATGTGTTCATTATGGTTCCTACTGCTCTGATCCCGCCCCTCCAGAATGATTGGCAGCAGTGGCTCTCCCAGCAGTAGGTCGTCCTCCCCTGCAGTTGAGCTCTGCTCAGAGTTCACACAGTTGGGGATGCTGAAGTGGGCCGGCAGGATGTATTCTTTCTCCGTCCTATTACCTGTCACTGCTAGCTCCTGCAGGAGTGTCCCGTCCCCTACTTCTAGACTGCTGCTGGGCCTCCTTTGGCAGCCTCCTGATTCTCCTACATCCACACCACCGGCTGTGGTCCAAAGGGCTCTGGAGCTCACCTGAGCTTCAGTGGAAACGTAGCACTGGAAGAGAGAGCAGGACGAGGCCAGAGCACTAGGGTGGGAAGGAGGGGCTCCATTGTTGAGGTTGGTGTCCATGTAGCCAAGCAGACGGGGCTGCTTCTCACATGGCTGACCGCTGCTGCTTACATGGAACAGAAAAGACAGAGAGATTGGCTCTGAATTATTTATCGGACAAACATTTAGATTGTTATCTAACATCTGGGAAGCTTTGGGCAATAGTGGATACAGATTCAATGAAAAAATTATTGAAGGCATCTTCAACTTTGTTTGTGTTATTTGTAATATGTCCATTTATCTTACTTTCTAAAAGTTGTTTCCTTTTTGTGTCCTGTCCTACAAAGTTTTTTCAGTTGGTTCCAGATTGTTTTAGAATCCCCTTTTGCATTTTCTATTATAGTCAAGAAAAAATCTGCTTTGGCCTTGCGTATAGCTTTAACAGTTTTATTCCTCAATGTTGTAAACAGATTTTTAGCACTAGCTGACTTAGTTTTAATTGCACTTTTTAACGCAAGATCCCTCTCTTTCATTAGTTTGAGTATGTCAGAGTTCATCCAGGGAAGTATGTTTTTATTGTCTTTGTGTTTAACTTTACAGCTAAAATTTTAATTGTTCTCTCAATTGTCGCTACAAAAGATTCACAGTCCATTTCACAATATGTGATCCCAGTCAATCTGCTGGACAGCACTTTTAAATCCTTCCTGTTAAAATCACCAACAATAACCACACAGTCAAAGTCAATACAGATTATAGACAGCAGTTCACCAAAGTCATTGAAAAAGTTTGCACAGTATTTAGGGGGCCTGTAGATATTTAGAAAAATAGCTCGAGAAGAGGAATTCAGCTGAAGAGCTACATATTCAATAGAAGCAAAATTCCCATAAGACATCTTTTTGCATTGGAGGGAGTCATTAAACAAAATGGCAACTCCACCTCCTCTCTTATGCACTCTAGCTTCACTCATGAAACTGAAGTTGGGAGGGGTAGACTCGATAAGGAGCTCCTGCTGCAGCTGCACTGTTATCTTGGTCCAACCAAGTTTCAGTTAAAAACTTGAAATTAAGATTGTGAGTGATTATAAAATCATTGATTAAAAATGTTTTTCCTGCCAAAGACCTAACGTTTAACAAAGCTAATTTTAGTGTGTTAAAAACATTATCTGGCCCACTTTTTCACAGGCTGCGGCTGATGAGGAATTAACACTAAATTTGCAGGATATGTTGAGTGCTTCCTGTTAACACATTCACCATGCTTTTTCTGTTACCTATCAAGACAGGGATGGAGAAGACTATCAGCACACTGGGCCCCGGCTTGTCCTGGGAAGAGTCATGAGTGCTATTTTCCTTGTAGCCTGGACCCAGCACATATCTGACAGACCTTACTGGGCTTTTTCGCCATTGCGGAGCGGGAGGACGGGTTGGGCGTTGGGCGCTGTATTTGTAACACGTGTTAAACCTGGAGGACTTAGAACCAGTGGTGGAGGTGGACGGTGAGTGGGGGTTTATAGTAGAGAAAATGGGAGTGGAGCGAGGGAAGGTGCGGGGAGTAAATGTTGTCCAGGCTCTAACCAGGTCTTCCATGTGATCAGTGAAGTCCAACTGGGGGGAGAGGGGAGAAAGGGTGTCTGGAGATAAGGGTGACCTGGATGGGGATTGGGGGGGTAAAGATAGTGAATCCTCACTGTTGGTTTTCAGTGAGGGAGGTGGAGGCTCTTCCTCTTGGCTCAGATGTCTCCCGTGATCAGAGCTCTCTTTCGGCGGGGGCTGAGGTGGCTCTCCTTCAAGGTTTCTGGCATGTTGTGTTATGTGTTCTTCTTGTTTAGATTCCTCTTGTCTCTTGTCCTTGGCAGGGAGAACAGATGAGTGATGCAGAAAGTAAAACAGGTTGGAGCTGAACAATTTTACTCCTGACTTGTTAAGACGAAGTCCATCTGCCTTAAAAAGATGTCTGCGGTCCCACAGAAAGTAAAAGTTTTCGATGAAATGCACTGAATGGACAGCACATGCCGTTGAGAGCCACGTGTTCAATGCCATCAATCTGCTGAATCTCTCAGCTCCTCTTCGGGTTGGCGGTATAGGGCCACTGATAAACACCTCAGCATTCAAAGAGCTGACTGTGTTCAACAGATTATTAAAATCCTCTTTCAACACTTCAGACTGTTGCTTCACAACATCATTGGTCCCAATGTGCAGTGTGATGTTTTTCACAGTAGGATGTTCAGCCACGATATGCAGGATTCTTTCTGCCAAGTCAGACACCGTATCCTTCGGAAAGCAGAGTATTTTGGTGTTCTTACTGCACATGCTTCTTACATCATTAACAGCAGAGTCACCCACAATCACAGTTTAAAGCCCAGTCGTTAGCTTTCCCTGCAGACCAAGATTTAAGTTTGATTCTTTCAGTAATTTTTCAAACTTCAAATTGAAAGGATGACATTGCGGATACAAGCTTTCTTGTGGAGGATCTACCTGGGCGGATAACATATCTCATCTGGCCTGGGAACGCCTTGGGATCCCTAAGGAGGAGCTGGAAAACATTGCTGGGGAGAGGGACATTTGGAATACCTGTCAGGTCTGCTGCCTCTGCAGGCCCAAGAGTATGCCTCCCTCTCTCTGTGTCTCTGTGCTTAATTGCAGGAGTGGAGACAGGTGCATGGGAGTCAGGTACCAGCTGCTCATCATCTACCACATCAAGCCTGCCTGTATATGTTGTAGACTAAACGGCACAGTCAGTCTCACTCCTAGGGCATTTCTCATTTCCCAAATTTGTGCCTCCTTAATCCTCGAGGTGCATTTTAGGAATTGAGATGTCCTTCAAGATGGCGCACTGAGATTGACTTGAGGATATGGATTCAGTAGGCTTCATTTTATGTTTACAACTTGAACTCTAGTGCCAAAGTTTTCCACGTTGGCTATGCAACATAAACCATTCTACGTAGTCAGCATCTGTACAACATGAGCGGTGTGTCACACTGTGGGCGTGTCTGCTCTGTTTTGGTTCTCAGTCATGTTATTTGTAGTCTTGTTAGTATCTGTCTTATAGTATGTTGAGTTTTGGGTTCTGTCCCGTCTATTGCCCGGTGTCCAGTATCTGTTATATAGTTAGTCTGTGTTTTGAGTTTCAGTTATTTCTTGTGTCCAGTTACTCTGTGTTCCTGTGCTGGTTGGTCTGTTACTGTCTGGTTGTGGGGTTATGATCCGTTTAGTCATTTTGACTTTGAGCTTTCTGCTTTAGTTTCCGGGTAGCCTTGTTTATTATTTCATTCATCCACATCTTACTTAGTATCTGTCTTGTCTCATATCTTAGTTCTTTGTCCTGTACCTTCGTTCATGTCTTTAGTGTTCACTCCTGGTCTGTGTACTTCTGTGTTTTGTCCATGTCTATCTGAGTTCTGTTTTACCTTAGCTTCTGTCTGTGTTCCTTGTTGGTGTTAGTTTATTTGTGATCTGTCTGCTTGTATTAGTTTATTTATATTACTCTGATGTTTAGTATTAGTTATATTGTTTCTAGCTACCAGGGTAGCTTGTCATGGGGTGGTACAGTTGGGGGCAATTGTAACCCAGAAACCATTTAAACCAGTGTCTGGCTCAGAAAGAACATCAAAATATCTGGTTGGTTTAACTAAAGAGTGAACACCCATAGTCAGCTGAGACAGTGCATGTCTTTATGCATTTGAAGAAGCAGTCACTATTCCAAACCTTTCCAAAACTACTTTCACTCATTGAAAGTCTTCTCTAAGCCTGCGAAGGATATTTAGTACCCTTCTATTCTAACATTATGAGTAAGTCTGCCTCCCCTGTATTTTAAAAAATGTATTATTTATTTGTGCAAACTGGAAACAGACAACATGATATACATACAACAATATGAAACATAAGACGATAGGACAATTAAAAATTAATAAATAAATAAACGATACAAAACAACAAAAACAAAAAAATCAACATGCATAGTTACATTTTTTAGAACTTGTTTTTCCCCTTCTGGTGCCCACCATCCACCCCTCCTCTTTGGAGGACAACTTGTTTTTATTTATATTGATTTAAAGATAAAATGGGGAAGAGGACAATAGTCCTATTTTACCATAAGAAATAATGATAAAATGTTTCTACTTCTCAGCTGAATAATTGACTCTGTGAACACTTTCCTAATGAGTTTATGGTCTCAGTCGCTAGTTTCATGTCTTCTTTAATACAACATGATGATCATTTAGTAAATTAGGGTCCTGTTTATAGGAAAATAGACCAGAAAGCAGAGTATGCTTCAGGGCGGGACTATCTGTGATTCCTAAGTCATTACCATGGCAATCTGTCAATCAGGCTATAGTGACTCGTACCCTCGGCACTGTGTAAACTTAACCAGCGGCGTTGAAAAAACTTATTAGGAGTTGACTGTTCATTTTCTCTGAGTACATTTAGTTTTAAGACTGTTGCTCGCTAGACAAAATTATCATCCCGGTTAAAATGACAGTTAACGTGAATTACAGATGCACGTAGCTAAGGAAGCTGGCTCCACAGTCTTTTCCAGATATGGTCCTGTCCGGTGCCGCTTTTTGCAAAAACTCAAAACGGCAGTCCACAAACCAACGGGTGACGTCACGATGACTACGTCCACTTCATATACACAGTCTATGCTCAGATCTAACCCTGTCACTTTTAGATCTCACTAAAACTGTCCCTCATCTAAAACCCTTATATTGTCCCACTGACACTGTTCCTCCTCGCCTCTTTAAGGAGGTTAAGGAGACTTTTGGCCATAAATAGTAGTTTGGCAGCAGGTGTAGTTCTAACATATCTAAAACATAAACTAACATATTTCAAAGCAGCAGTTGTGGAACCCCAGATTTAAAAAGTGTACAAGCTTCCTTGTACATGGTATTTTTTAGATTTTTCAAACTCTGCTCTTAAATGCTTAAACAGCTTGTTTGTAGTCCAGCCTTTACCCTTTCATCCCTGTGACGTCACAGGAATGAAAGCTAAATGCACCTCATAACGCTCACCAAGTAGCTAGTACGACACGCCCTCAAAAACAGCTGAGGAAAAACAGCGAGCTGCAGCACACAGCTCTCCTCTCCCTTCCAAACACTAGCTACCCTCCAGGCAGTCAGTGGACATAAAGTTGTTCCTGTGATGTAGAGACAGAGCTCAGTTAAAACTTTATGGATACAGATTAATAACTCACCGCTCTGAAACTCTCGCTCCAGTCCATGTTGCCGAGCCGGTCGGCAACACGTACGGCTGAACCCGAGCTGTTTACCGGCTTCTCGCTGACCCGCCCTTCTCTGCTTCTGATTGGCTAGTAGTCCTTAACTAGGAACTGAGCATGTGCAACTCCCAACAAAGATCATTTAGAGACAAGATGTATCACTCCATAGATAAAACTAAGCCTACTGATTCCACCTCTGGACTCTGGACTTTTTTTTTTCTCTCTCTCTCTTCAACAGATGGATTATGCAGCATTTCTCATGCTGGCATTAAGGGATGTGCTGCAGTGTGTATTGGTGTTCCATCAACCTATGGACGCTTTTGCACTTCCCCAGTATCTCCAGGCAGAGGACATTTAGGGGAATCACATTTTCTGACGGCTCTTTCAGAGGTGTGTCAAGCAGGCTACAGACTCTTTTAATGTTATTCAGAATTCAGTAAAAGCTCACCTCCAAATACAGCATTACGGTAAACAAGCTTCTTGCACTTTTATTTTGTAGGCAAAACCACTAAAGAGGAAGTGATTGTGTGAGTAACTGTTGCTGTCATGCCTGAGATCTATTTCAGCACCGCTATCAAAGCATTTACTTATTTATATTTTTTGCTGCTATTAAAGCACCGTAATCTGGCAGTGGATCAGATATTGTTGGCGGGCAGTTTGGGCGAGGGTCCATAATCACAGAATGAATGTGTGTCCCTCAATGTTTGTATAAACTTTATCTAATGTGTGGTTTATGATGGACTGTGGTGCAGAAACAGTGACAGTGTTTCACACTATTGGCTCACATTTTCCATGTTGTCTGTCAGTGGCCAAGTCACATTAAAATATGGTTTTACTGAATAATTAAGTAAATATCATTTCTTAATAAATGTACCTAAAGAAACTAATTTCTTGACTGGCCACTCTCTGCTATCTCAGAAAAGACCCCTTTTGTGCTGTGTCAGCCACCGTAGCTGTCCTACGCTCTTTGAAAGGTCAGGGGGCAGCAGTAGACTGGATAGATGGTTGCAATTCACAACCCTCACCACTAGATGCCACTAAATCTTACACACTGAACCATTAACGATTTTTAGTCAGTCTTACAAATGCTACATACTGTATAAAAAAATCACTCACTGGTTTAACTGCTGATAGAACGTGTCTGCACTGTGATGAGGGATCACAGTTAGATATTTGTTTTAAAGGTTAAGGCTGATGTTGTTCTATATTTGTCTAATAGTCAACAAATCCCATTAAAGACCAAAACCAACAATGTGTACAGTAGGTCTGTCAGTGCCTCCTGACTTCCCTATCCTGTCTGTGGCCCTCAGACCTGATAAGCCAGTTGGTTCCCGCTGAAGATGTAAAGCTATAAACTGCTCATGTCAGGAGTCCCCGGCTGTGACCCCTGTGTGGACAGTGTTCGACTGTCTTTATGTTTTGGTTGCCTGCTGGGAGCTTGATGTGTTTCTGTTTCTCTCTCTCTCTCTCGCCCTGCCCTGCCCTGCCCTTTCGCTGCACTGCCTGGGATCTATGTGCGTGTCTGCTACGGGCCCCTATCACACCTGAACCACATCCTCATCAGCACACCTGACCAGTTTCTGCAATCTGCCACGGCTTTATAGGGGAGGCTCAGACATCCAGTCCCTGCTGGATCGTTGTGAAGTAGGGGTAAACCGGGGCGAAAGTAACAAGGCGATTTTCTCCGAGCCCTGACTACATTTGCAGTCCAAGCTGTGACAGCACCTTCAGCACGCAAACCTTAATGGAGCTGCCAAATATCGTATGATTTCGTCATCGTTTCCCGCGGCCATCTTCGGAAAACTGTTTTTCGAATTACAAGTTGTGTCTCTCGTTTCATGCGTCACAGTAATGATTGATCTACAGGTTATTTAGTGCTTTAACACACCCTGAAGTTTGCCCTGTCAGAGTTTTTCAGTGTAAAAATAAATCGTGTTTATATATCAGGAGTTCTGCTAATGTGGTGACTTTGTGTTGCAGCATGTATTGAATCATGTTTGTATTATACCAACAGAATAAGAATGAGGGTCAGAAAAACAGACCGAGGTCTGATTCAGCCAGATGTTTTTAGGCACATTTTGTTGGATAGAAACATGACTATTTTTGCATTATTTTGAGAATTTATATTTATGTAATGGATATTCATTTTCATATTGTTGAAGAAATGTGTTATAAAATGGATTGACATTGCCAATAAAAAACACTTTGAACAAGTATACGGTTGGGTTACTTTTGAAACATGGTACTTTCGCTCCTGCTCTCCCCTAACGCATATGTCGTGTCACACACCAGCCTTTCTGAAAGTCTGTGCTTGTTTTCTGATCGGTTTGTGAACCTGTGTTCTCCTCTGCCTCAGACTGGCTCTGTCAAGCCTCAGTTTAGCCACTCGGCCAGAAACACCTTGTCTGCCAGCCGCCTGGACCTTTTTCCCAGTCTGCCGCCTGGACCTTTTTCCCAGTCTGCTCAGTCCGTAAGCCTGCCAGCAGCCTCTCCGTTTCCCTCAGCCCAGGATTAAGGAAGGAACCCCTCTCTCTGGCCCAACCTCCCTGCACAATTCCCTTTGTTCAATAAACTGTGTAACCTTAGCCGAGATCTGCGTTTAGGTCAGGTACATGTGGATGTTGTGGTGCTGCTGCAGTGACTCACTCAGGATGTGGAGCTCCAGTCTTTGCCAGAAGCGTGAGCAGAACAAACATAAAGATGACAAAGACAGCCAGGCCAACCCAGAAGCCGATCACTATGGAGTCTACAAAATAACAAAACAAGAAACAGGATATGATAATCATGATGACAATACAACCTCATTACAAAACTCATAGTCCTAGTAATCATGGTACTGTAAGAGGGATGATGTACAAATATTAAATTAATTACGTGTAATATTCCACAAAAGTATAGGTAACAGCACAGCAGACATGTTTCCACAGGACTATTGTAGAAATAGTCATTGCCATGCCCTAGAAAGTTGAATACACATACAGTAGTGAATATAAACTCACTACTGAGTGACACAGACACACTATAAAAGAGTATATTATACTGTGTATGTGAACATTGCCTTGATACCATGGGACTTGGGGACTGAAGATGGCTTAATAAGGATGGCAGTAATGAATAAGTGATAGAACTACCAATCCAAAGGCTTTATTTGGAAACTCAGAAAATGTCATGGCAGCCGATAGTTTGTATTATGTATTATCTTGTAGGTCATTTCTGGTGAAAGGGCTGTACTAGAGGAAAGGCCGCAGGATCACTGAATTAAGTAGGATTCGTCCTCAGAGGACAGAATATTCACAGCAACTTTCATGGACATTCAGCCATAACATGTCTTGTCTAACAAAGCCGACAGACTGATCTGATGGTAGAGTTCATGGAGGGTCCATAATGGAAACCTGAAGACCTGAATATACTAATAAAGAACATGTGATGTGATTTTCCAGAACATCTACTCAAAGGCAGTGGTGGAGGAAGTATTCAGATCATTTACTTAAGTAAAAGTATCAGTACTGCAATATAAAAAATACTGCATTACAAGTGAATGTCCTGCATCAAAAATGTCACTTAAGTAGAAGTATGAGTATTATCAGGAAAATGCACTTTAAGTATCAATAGCATCACAATGCAGAAAAATGGCTCCTGTGAGTTGTATTAATATTATTGGATTGTTATTAGGAAGTGGAGTTTATTGTAATCATCTTATATGATGTTGTGTAATCTAGTCTATGTTTTGTAAGCTCATCAGATGTTTTATCTGTAAAATCTTACTCTGTAAAACTAAAGAAGAAGAAGAAGTATTAATTGACATGAAATGGAAAAAACTCAAGTAAAAGTACCTCAAATGTGTAATCAAGTACAGTATTTGTTATCATAGTTTGATATATTATAACATCAGCACAGGGATGACAAATGCTACAAGTGTCCTATGCTCATTTTGTCTGATGAAGTCCGTATTATTATTATCATTATTATTTTCTACATGAAGAAACATGCTGCTGAAATACCTGAGCTCGCGCTGCAGTAAGCCCGTCGGATCATGTTCACTAACTTCACATTAGTTTTACAGAGAGACACACAAAGGGATACTCACAGCGGTCTGCCTTCAGCCCTTCGTAAGACACCGGCTCCTCGTCGTCATAATATTCATATGTCCATTCGTAGTTCGGGACTGGAAACTTAGCGGTGCCGTTTGGACCGTCAGCGCCAGACATCTCAGAAAGAGAGACAGCTGTGGACCAGACTGAACGAGAAGCTGGAGGCGCTGGGATTCAGCGAGTCCTTCACATGGACACACCATCCGCTGCTGAGTCTGTGCACTGCAAATGTGTGCTCGTCCGGTTTCTAATGTGCTAGAGAGGATTCTATTATCCATAAGCACTAACATTTGGATTTGGATTATTTTGCCAATTTCATAGTATGCAAATCCCCTGCCTGCCTGTCCTCAGATGAACAGCAGCATTACAGTTAGTAGAGGAGTAGAAATTCTTCAATATCCTTCAATAGACAATTTGCCATTTTTGCATAGAATGAGTTGAAGCTCACAAAGTAAAGTTAAAGTAATTCAAAACTACACGCTCACTATTCATAGGGGACAGCTACAGATTTAGAAATACAACCGTGTGCCTTCTGCATTTGACCACAAGTCTCATTAACAACACACCTTGCGTCCTCTCTTGCAACACACCTGAGAAAGGATCTTTTGCATCTCTGACCCATCCCTGGCAGCCTTCGGCAGATCCTCTATGTCCAAGAGAGACATCTGATCGTGTGCCTGGTGGTCACACACCATCCACCTCCGCGAGGAAAAGATTCCCTCTATGGGCTTGAGGAAAGGAGAGAAAAGGTGGAAGGAACAGTGACACCATCCTGGATGGGCTGTAAACCGCTCTGTCACTAGAAGAGACGGAGAAACGTCACATTGTCATACACAGCTACAAAGCCTTCTGGATTTGTAAAGTATTTTGTGTAAAATCAATGAAAAGTGATGCACAGTTTAGACCAGATTGACCGCTGCTGTGCTGAACCAACCACCTGAACCTATTCTCCTAAAACAGAAGCACAGATTAATTTCTAAACCACACTTTTGCCACTCAACACAACGCTCTACATCTGGCACAATCTTCATGAATAAATTCTCTTGTGTTCACGTGGAACACACTGCCATTCAAAGTGCCAAACTTTAATGTCAGACTCCTCATGTGCAAACACGTGTTGCTGTTTGTTCAATAGGCAATCAGAGGGCCACAGGTGAGCTCTTCTGTTTTGGAGCACTAGATACCAATATAGGAGGGAGAGGCAAGTGGAATAAGAGGAGGATGACGAGGAAGAGCAAGACCAAGGAGAGCCATAGAATCTGATGAAAATCGGGCCACCACGGTCTGACATTGAGGCAGGCTGGGCAGAGAGTACAACCAAACTGTAGCAGCATCCATCTGCATATTAATACAGTACTCAATAATTACTGTAGTGCAGTATTGCAAGTGGATTATACTGTAAACAGAAAGTTTTATGTATGCATGAGATTTGGATCCCCTTACATCTACTGTACATCTCTTCTGCAAATAATGGAAGATGTATGTGCAGATACAGGAGCTTCTCAGGGCCGGACTCACCATGCTAGGCGAGGCTTCCTCTGCTGCTTGGCCAGGGATAAAATTGCCTGCAATGATGATGAGGTGCTGAGGCCAGACCCAAACAGGAGACCTAATTTCTTTTTTCTATAGTTTGTTCTGTTTGAAGAACTCTTTACAAATCCAATTGTTTGCTCAGGTGTATACACAGTATTTCAGAATAAATATTTGTATTTAGAGTTTTCGAATTTGTGTTAGAGTTTTAAGAAAATTAGAAGAAATATTAACAGGTAACATCACATTTATGTCACTTTGCCTACGTTTGTAGTAATGTTGCATCTCTTTACTGCATTCACTTCCAAATTATAATTTGTAACAAATACAGATTCAGACTTTATTAATTCAATTTATTTTTTAGATAAAGAGTTGCAGAAGGGAGAGGGGTTTTCACTCCTTCAAAACATGAGGGCATCCTTTCCATTTGACAATACTGAGTGCATCACATTGCTGGATTATAGTAAAAAATGTGACTTATGAAACAGCAAATTACAAAACAAAAAGCAGCTGAGTGCTCTGTCTACAATGTGTGCAGTGAAAAAGTGTTCATGCTGTCGGTCCAATCCAGCCCAGAAGGGACTGTAATCATGACGTGTAGCTGCTGCTGTGTGCGTCAGCCTCTACTGTTGTGCTGTTAATTCTTCCTCAGTGACTAATGGACAGGAGCAGCTGGGTTCATCTAATTGAGCGCCTTAGGAAAACACAGGTGCATTACAATAACCCCCTCTGAGATGTTAGATCTGCTGCATCCTTCTGCAATGAATATTCACACATGAAATGTAGTCTGATACATCACTCACACAGTAGCTGCAGTTATTAAGCCTTGTTCAGAGCTTTGACCAGAACTCAGTTTAAAAACGGAAAGAATTTTAGAAGGCGTCCGCCTTCAGAATGCAAGTGATCACGTTTCTGCTATATGTTTAAAATGCTTCTGACATTCATAAGTTAAAAAGGCCCTGAAAACTTAAAACATTTCAACAGTTTAACAGACTTAGTTTGAAGATATCCTCGAGTGGTCTGCACATTCATTTTCTTTCTGGCAAATAAGGAATGCATCTACAATTTACTCAAGTAAAATTTAATTAACTTGCACCTTACTTCCCATTTTACGCTACTTTATACTTCCTGGGGAAAGTGTGTTAAAATGAGCTGGACCTGTTTGAGGGACTCATTAGACACACATTTAAAAAGAATGGTAATGAAATGCTGCAGGCTTTATAGATTTACTACCAAAACAATAAGATAAGTATTTTTTTGGGTTCAGCTCCCTACTGTGACACCTTCACCATTGTGTCCCTGAGCAAGACACTTAACCCCTCGTTGCTCCAGAGGCGTGCGACCACTGACATGTATAGCAATTGTAAGTTGCTTTGGATAAAAGCGTCAGCTAAATGAATAAATGTAAATGAACTCAAACCAACTGGTTAACCAAGTTGTGTGATTTTATTTTTTCATTATTTGGCCTGGCAAGAAGATGAAAGATGTCTGGTATGATTTTCTGAAAACTTTTATTGTGTAGTTTGCGACGGGCATGTGTCAAACCCAAATGATTGACAACTTTACAATTAGAAACAAATAAATACAGCATTAAATGCATCCACAGAGAAGACAGATATAAATACAGTAAAATCCTTGATTGACATGCTAAAGGAAACAATGGGACCAATGTATGCCCAGAAATTGGGCACTGACTGCAGGGGCACTTATTCATTGAGACTTTCAGGCCAACGATGAATAAAAGTCCAATCTTCACAATCATTTTAGCTCCGATTTGGTCTCCACCAACTCAAAGGGAAATATCTGCTGCTTTAGCTGCTACCTGCTTCGCTATGTTCACCAACTAGCCGCTACCTTTCTCTGTCTGCCGCAGGTAGCGTACAGTGTGTTTATCAGAGCTTTTCCACTGAAAACAGCTGCCTGTGGATGACAGTAGGCTACTGAGAGTGAACCAACAAAGTGAAGTTGTGGGCCGTAAAACCAAAACGATGATCATGCTAGGAGCATGGATCAAGAGATGGCAGTATCTGTTGGTTGGTCAGTCCACCACTTTGTTCCAGACTGAAATCTCTCTACCGGATGGATTGACATGAAATTTTGAACATACATTCATGGTGCCCAGAGAATGAATCATGCTTACTTTGGTAAACCTCTGACTTTTCCTATTACCCCCCCCCCTTTTTTTTTTATTTGTTCCACTTCCTGTTTTGTCTCTTAACTTCCTGTTGCATTGTAAATACAGGTAAAAGGTTCTGGTCCTGGTGGGTTTAGAAAGCCTTACGGGACAAAGGGCCGCATTTTAGAGCCGGTGATGTAACCATCGGACACCATCACAGATGTCTGGTTAGAAAGACAATCTTCGATGCAAAGTTACATTTAGAGTTACCAAGCTTACAACCACACTACTGTCGCCTATGTTGAAGCAGCAGATGAATGTGAGCGATGAGAAGAGTGATGATTCTAACCTATTAGTACAATGATGCATAATTAAGATATTAAGATTATTTGCTTATTTCTTTAATAATGGTCACCAAATTAGCTGATTTTTTTTATTTTGTTGGTCTGGAAGCTGATTAATAAACATGAATTAAAACACACAATCTTTTCACTCAACTATGCAATAAATAATCTATATTTTATAAAAATTTTTATTTGAAATCAGCATGTTACACAGTGATAAGCCCACGGCATGAAAAACTGAAATACGTTTAGTAGTGTGACTAAAACCAGTGCGTCTCCACTGTGACTCAGTTTTGGATGCATAAATGTTGTATCAGCACAACAGCCAACTTAAAAACCCATTCTGATCCGTCACCATGACGATTATAACAGTACACGACCATCTGAGCCCGATGCTGTGCGGAAGTACTGATCTAACTAATAAATTAACTAAACAAGTGGATGTTTGTCAGAGCACTGTAGAAGAAAGTCTTGTGTTATATGTTAGATAATAAAACTGCTCAAATATTTGCTAGAGTTGTCAGGCACAAAGTGATCAGAAGCAGCAGATGTCAACCAACACAATGCGACATATTCCCACTTCCCATGCAGACAGGAAGTTAAAAGACAAAATAAAGGATTCGGAGGACTTTTTTCACTTAGGCTACTAAGTAAAACTACAACTGCTAGATGGATTGGCAGGGGTCCATCTGTGGAATACAAGAGAGGGGTGTAACAGGAATGGGTGTAACTTGTAACAGGGGTTTAGCTAGTCTAGCAGGCTGCAGAGGAATTGTTTAGGATGGATTGGCACAACGCTTTGTATAGCCATGCATTGTTCCCAGGAGATTCTAATGACTTTGACGTGATCCCCAAACGATGCATCTAGCCATTAAGTTGACATTTTTGTGCCTGTTTGAAGTAACTCAACAACTACTCGATGGATTGCAATGAAATTTGGTACACACATTCATGACTGACCGGGAATTTAATGTAACATCTTTGATCCGCTGACTTTTCCTCTGGTGCCATTATCGGGTTACAAATTTAATTTGTCAGATATTCTTGTTTGTGACCAAAACTAATGAGAAAACAGCTGCACTTTGTGTTTACTGTCAATGTTAGCATGCAAACACACTTAACTAAGATTGCAAATATGTTAAACATTATACTTGTTAAACATCAAATGTTAGACGCAGGTGATGAAGTGTTGAGACAGTCCTGTTACATTGAAATAGAACAAAAAAAGCGATTGCTGCTTCTTTTTTAGTCATGCAGCAACAGAAGCTGAAGCCTTCTACGCAGTCATATTCTGTTTTAATATAATGCAGCTGAAAAGTACAACCGAACCTGAAATGAAAAACTACAAACGAGACCAATTTCATGTACACTGCTACTAGTACTGTCTAAATTCTCTTCATTTCATGAACAAAATGAAAGGTCACTTTTAGCTCAATGGCATGTTTAAGCCAGAACACACAAACAGTTTCTGCATTTTAATGATAAAAACTGTTTTTAAAGTCAAAGTACCATCAGATTCAGCAGGATAACTCTGGGCTGATATGTGGACGTAGCATCTGCATTTTCTTGCATCTGTATTTCCCATCCACCCTGTCTGGACTACACTGAAACAGCAGAGGAAGTGTCAAGGACATGGAAGCAGTTATATTTCTACAACTGCACAAAGGCACTCAGCCACTTCAGTATATTAAACCACTTCTCCAGGGCATGTTCCTGATAAATCCTGTGAGGTGAACAAAATTTGGCAGGAACCTTTGTTGGAAACAAAAAAACAGACAAACATCACTAACAGAAGGAACCACAGCTTTATTTTGACTTGCCAAGTTACAGAAGGGCTTCTTTAATTATTTCTTGATAAGAAAATTAGCAAAACTAAACAGCAGCTGTTTGCTACTCTTTCTCTAAACAGGCACATTATCTGCTCTTAGTACGCAGTGTCTTGTGGGTCTTTACCAGGTAAAATCCTTTTGCGGTTTATTTGGAATAAAACAGAAGAGTTCCACCTTAAAACAGTGGCCATTTGTTTGGCTCAGGAGCAGTTTTCATCTTCATCACAAAGAGGACTAAAAGAATTAAGCTGTGGCACAAACGAGCCTTTTAAAGCAGACTGGGAAAGCAGATTCACCCGTCATCATTAACGCACAGGTGTTAAACCAATGGGCCCTTCAGCTATCAACACTGCCACATGACAACGGCGGCCAGACGTCTGGAGCGGACATGATCTAGGTTTTACCCACACCGATCTGTAGTTTTGGCGCACACATACGATGCACAGGACAGACAACTAGCAGTCCTGAAGGAAGTGCAGGCAGGCATCGAAGAGGCTCGAGAGCGCAGGAGAGGATGTCTTCGTCTGACATTTGGCAGGCAGAACTTCGTGATCTGGGCTGTTTTGGAATGCTTTAATGTGTCAGTCTAACCCCAACGCACTGGGCAAGAGTGAGGAGCTGACAATCCAATCTAAACTTGAAGTATATCCAGAGCAGCTGCCAGAAGGCCCTGTGAAAACTGTGTGATATGCTGGTGTAATTTGGCCTCCTGAGCACAATTGTTTATTTAAGGAATCATGCTTTGCCACTCAGGTTGACTCCAGCCACCCCCTGAGGAAGACCCAGTGTGGATCAAAAGTGGTCAGCCTTCTCCTTGATTTGTATTTTGTTTTTAAACTTTGATTTAACTACATCCTTGGCTCTGTGCCTGAAGTAAGCCCAGGGGCTTCCCTTTTTCTATAATTTGACTCCAAGAGCACCTTGCCTTGTCGTGGAGTTTACTTTACAAAAGTGAGCACCTAGTATTTTTTCATAGGCAGCGGCTGCGGCCCTGTGAAAAGGCTTTGCAGGCACCAAGTGCTAAAGCAGTGATGCATCAGCCATCAACAGCAGCAAGCACCTCTCCGCCTACCTAGGAAGCACAATGCATTCATGAGAGCTGGTGAGCGGCCACAGCTACAGTCCAGGGTGTCAACAGGCCTACTAGCTGCTGTGACTGACTGGCAGTGTGAGGACAAGTTCCCTTACTTTGCTCTCTCTGCAGTGCCATCATGCTGCAGGACGTTACAGACGCTGCACTGAGAGGAGGCATCAGGAACACATCGGAGGCTTCTGACCAGGAGGAGGGATCTAATGGGTAGTGCTGCGGGGACACACATTGGGCTGGTCAACACTGGCTGGGTCGAGGGTGTCTAAAGTTGAAAGATGTGAAACACCCAATGATCCCAGATTATATCAGTGATGTGTCCCAGTCCTCTGTAAGGTCTAAGAATCATTGCAACCTTTAGAAGAGGTGTTCAATTGGATAAAGATAGCTGTAGAATAAATTCCACCTCCTCTTCATGGCAGTCTTTGCAGAAAAGTTACATTCCAACTGTGCACCCACACTCTTGAGCAGCATGAACTTCCATGCCAACACTACATCAACAGAGAAAGGCGCCTCCTGACAACTAAGACATCAGTGTGTGATTGGAAACTATGAAATATTTTGCATTGTTTACAGAACCAGTACTGCACTATAGTACAGTGTTATCTCTAGGGATGGGTATCGTTTAAAATTTTACAATACCAATACCAACAGAGTACTTCTTTCAATACCTTGCATAAAATGCCACCTGTTGAAGCCGTAGTAGTTGATTGGTAGCCTATTATTTTTTATCGTTGTTATGGACAAGCAAGGTTATGCTTTTTTTTTTTCTTGTTTCAAATAACTGTTAAATAAAAGTATTGGGAAATTGTATCAGATCCTCCTCAACATGATTAGTTCATCCTCACGGCTAGTATTATACAGGGAAAGACTGCAGCCTGCGAATATTTTATATTTGAATGAGAGGAGGAGTGAAATTGTTTATTGACCAAATAAGGAAAATTAATTTAAGGTAATTTTTTGGTATGTGTGTTGAAAGTAAACAAAGGAAAATTATTTTGTTAACTTTCGATCAATAAACTGAATTGAAAGATTTCTGCGAGCGCTTTTTCCTTCTGTTTAAACAAGTTACTAAACTACACTAAAGACTCTCAAACAGAAGAGACGCTGCACGTCCAGCCGATCAAACCAGCTACACCTGAAGCAGCCGGAGGATCCGTGAGCAAAATCAGCTGATCGAACGGTGACAAGTGATGTGAACAGCAAAGAAAAATGTACAGAGAAGTGTTCAGTGACAAACCTGACACGCCGCCGAAGGTGAGCGGCTGTTAAAATCACGCACGGACTGAGCGCGTGCAGGCCTTTTTATTCAGTCTATGGTGCAGGCACAAAAGGAAAAATAAAAAGCGAGCTCTTCTCTTTCTTTCAGTGTGTTGCTTGCCTGTTTGGCTGCAAGCAAAAGCAGACAAATAGTAATGTTTTGCCGCGATCTGGTTACAAGAAGTATCGATTGAAGTACTGCTTTGACTGTTTCGGTCGATACCATAAAGGCGATACCCATCCCTAGTTATATCACTGCGTTTCCTTTCTGTTCTGCAAAGTGACTCATTTTAAACTCTATCAGACTCTATATTAAACTTGATTGAGTCAAGACTCCAATCAGAACTGAGTGAAAATTGCCTCACTCTTAAAGAATGGGAGACTAACCTTTAAAAATGTCACCATAATGCATTTTATTTCACTGCAGTGGTTTAAACTGCATCCATGTAACTGGAACATTAAGATCTGGGAGTGTCTGCAGACGATCATCTGCTCATGCTAAACGTCTTTTTATATTGCATTTACCTCATCGGTTTACATAATCTCATTCATTTATCTTAATATATTTTGCTGCTTTTCTTTACAATGTTTCAACTCTATGAACTGTATTAACTTTGTTCCAGACACTGACAACACTGTCCACAATCTTAACAATCTTACTGCACTGTAATTTAGTGATCTACTGTTCAGCCAATCAAAGACTGGAGCGTGTTATCTGCTGTCAGCATCATCAGATTTTTGGTGCATAGAAATACAATGTTCCTTTCATTTCTCACAAACACAAGTTTATAAATTAAATTAGACTCTCTCTCTCTCACACACACACACACAGGCATACACAGTCTTTGCAGGGTGGAGTTGGATCAGGGCAGAGCTCCTCAGCCCTGGAAGGCATGGAGCTCTTCCTCACTGAAGCCCTGCTGCTTCAACAACCTAAAAGACAATGAAACAGAAAAGGAGGTCAAGACAAAGCAGATAAATCCTAGTCTCCTGGTAGCGCCTCCATGCTCTGGACACTACGCTGACAGACACAGCAAACCTTCTTGCCACAGCTCGCATTGATGTGCCATCCTGGATGAGCTGCACTACCTGAGCCACTTGTGTGGGTTGTAGACTCCGTCTCGTGCTACCACTAGAGTGAAAGCACCGCCAAAACATCAGCCAGGAAGCACAGGAACTGAGAAGTGGTCTGTGGTCACCACCTGCAGAACCACTCCTGTATTGGGGGTGTCTTGCTAATTGCCTATAATTTCCACCTGTTGTCTTTTCCATTTGCACAACAGCATGTGAAACTGATTGTCAATCAGTGTTGCTTCCTAAGTGGACAGTTTGATTTCACAGGAGTGTGACTGACTTGGAGTTACATTGTGTTGTTTAAGTGTTCCCTTTATTTTTTTGAGCAGTGTATTTTTTCTGAGCGTCAGAATTTGATCTATTTGGTTCAGTCCTGTGCAATAAGGGCTTATTGTCGACATTTCACATGTCCTTTCATCGGCTCACACCAAATAAAACTGTAATCTGTATATACTGTTTTCATCTGACAGACTTCTCTGTCCTGACCCTGTCTGACCGACCGTTAAGAGTAATGTCAACGTGTTCCCAGACCGCAGCTATTACTTGCAAACAATGTTAAAATCAATTAAAGAGTGTTGCCAAAACTATGAAAATAACATTTTAATAGTAGTGAAATGGAAATCCTTTAAGCTGCAGTATTGTGTTGTATTTTCAGAGGGAATGGTTCTATAATAAACGTTATGTTACATACCCTGTTGTTAGCTCTGTAAAGGCAGTGGGGCCACAAACACACACATAGCATTTGGACCCATCTGGCCTGTTGAGGAAATCCTTCAGCATGGACTCATCCACCCGACCCTTCCTTTCGGTCCAGCTTTCACAGGGCTCAGACAGGACGTACGCCACCTGAAACCTGACACACAACACACACATCCTGAAGATAAACAAAGACACTGAGGTCCAGATGAAGCAGAGGAGTTTGTAAAACTGAAAATCTGCTGCATTTCACACTTCTGCCTTATTACAAATGTATCAAAGCTAAAATCAGTGTACACTCACACTACGACTCGTGTGTCCCTCTGTGCACATTAACCTTGAAAAAGACTACATAAAGTCACATCCTGTCAATTCTGATCTAGATGTGGGTTAAAATTCTGGTCCCAAGTCATGATTTGTTTAAACTATGGCAGCTTTGGTTAACACTTTATGTTTTCCAGTTTCGTTCCTTTAAGGTGAATGTCAGGTATTGTACTGTCTCTGTGCTACCTGGGGGCACTTGATGTACTGTGATGCACCATTGTGCTGATTCTGCAGATCTTCTTAGTATAGGTGCAGCCCTCTAAGCTGTGGGCCACACTGGTTCCTTTAGCTAGCTGAAGACAAAGCTGTTTTGGGATCCGACTGTCTGGTCTCAGCTAAATTTATACACAAAGTGAGACTGAGCGCAGATTAAAAAGTCTGGGATGAACCTACTATAGGGCTGTGCGCCCTGGAGTTACAGTACATAACTAACATTGGCATCTATTCATTTTGAACACGCAACTCCAACACCCAGCTGACCAATGGTGTAACTAGGGCTGGACAATAAATCAATAATAATATCAACAATAATATGTCAATATATTGTCAATAAATGTGTGATTTGATTCATTTACATCACAAACAAATTGGCACTTTGTTTTTATATTAAGAGGTTTTTTTTGTTGAGGAAAAGAGACAGAAAAAAAGAGTTACTTATCATATTTGTTGAGAAAGATTTTATCTTAATTGTTTTGAATGTTCTACCTCAGATTTGTGAAGTGATCCACCGTTTGGCATCAAGTGTTTGTCACATTCTGACCAAAAAGAATAGTTTAAACACACAATTAACCATCTGGTTTCTTTCATTTTCACTCAAGAGCAAAAATCGGCCTTTAAACTTGAAAGAAATAATAATTTAACATTTATTGTGATAACATTTTTTGGCCGTTCAAATTCCACTTTAATTCATTCTGTCATTAGTACAATGCTACGACTGTCAAAAGCCAAAGACATAACAGTTGACAGAAAGCTAAAGCGGGTATTGAATACACGCAAGATCTAGTACATATACACAATGTCCTTTCATGGGATCCTGTCACTACTATCTTGTTGCCTTAAACGCATTTCCATCCTCTTTTCCCTTCCTCCACTGCTACTTCATTATAGTGGATGTAGTTCAGTTCAGTGTGCTTTATAGGCATCAATGTTTCATTTAAATAATGTTGGCAAAGCAGTTTGCAACAAAATCAAATAAAAATCAATCAAGATTATAAATTACAAAAATGAAAAACAATTGGATTTATCTCGATTCAATTGAAAGAAGACAGGCCAGATAAAATCTTTTCTCTTCAATATTTTATAAAGACATTATTAGGAACTTATACTTATAACCACTAGGGCTGGACCTGAATATTCGATTATTCGTTTCTTGGGTAGGTATTCAATTTTCAATTTTGTTTTTTTCCCCCCACACCTCTGACCTAACACTCGAGTTCACATCAAAAGGGAAGCAAATGCCAAAGACCTCAACTATCAGTGTGGCAGTTACGGGGTTTATTAAATTTCTTTACAGATCCAAATTGTCAGTAAACTGTACAACAACCAACAACATAATGAACTTATAAAAATAATTATATTAGGCCTATTGTAGAAGAACATTTAGTAGGCTATAATAAAAGTTAGAAGTGAATCTTGCCTAATAACGTGTTGTTTTAGTTACGCTCATCCCGTCTGCTCTCCCTGGATCCCCGCCTGGCTAAACTATTCCCGCATTCTGCTCTGAACCTGCTCAGCTCAACCTCTCACAGTACGGACTGTCAGCTAGGGTTTCCACCTGCTGCAACAAATAATCAACATAGTAGACAAAAAAAAAATCGATTATTAAGTTGCCAACAAATTTTATAACTGTTTTGTTTGACAGTTCACATTATTGTTTAAACGTGGCCCATATCAGACTCCAGTGTGAACTGTCCGCGGCCTGAAAGTGACCCACATGTGCAGAAGAATAACACGTCGTCACACCCAGCAGCAGCTGTTGCAGGCTGCAGAAGTAAACAAGGAGCCACAGAGGTTATGACAAGTGTTCACAACTTTTCTGTTTCATTACGGTTTCTGGTGCAACTGCCCCACAACTCACTCAGACTCACTCTCACTCTCTCTCTGACCTTTACTGGCCTGGGAGCACATCAGTTATGCTGGAGCATCTGAAGAGGCGGCACGTAACGCTGGCTCTCCGGATGATGAAGACTCGACAAGGTAAGATAGTCGGCAAGCTAAGTAGCCTAACGTTAAAGCCATGTTACTTCGCGTTCTAAGCTGAAACGTTTTCTATACATTTGCTTGGTTCATAAGTGTCTGTTTTATACGGTCTATGGCTGCGTTCAGACTGCAGGCCAAAGTGACCCAAGTCTGATTTTTTTTTTGCCCATATGTGACTCAGATCTGATCTCTTTATGACGGTGTGAACAAGCCAAGTCACATGGGGTCTGATCTTTTCCAGTTTGGATTTGGGCCACTTCCAGATCGGATCTTTTTAAATGCGACCTCAGTCTGGACGCTATCATGATAAAAAGTTTAATTTCTTTTGATATCAATAATTATCACAATAAGTATCAAACTGTTCTTTTGTTCGAGTTTAAAGTCTGATTCTTGCTCCTGAGTGAAAGTTGAAGATACCCGATGGTTAATTGTGGTTTAAACTCTTCTTTATGGTCAACACTTGAGGCCAAACGGTGGATCACTTCATAAATCTGAGATAGAACATTCAAAACAATTATGATAAAATCTTTGTCAACAAATATGCACGAGTAAAATTAAGTAAAAGCTTTTTTCAGTACATTTTCCTCAACAATAAACAACAAAAATTCCTAAAGTCCTAATTCGTGTATGATTCAGGGGAATATTGTTATTATTGTTATTGAAAAAAAATTATATTGTGATAATTATTGTTATTTTATTGTCCAGCCCTACTTTCAGGCAGACAGACAGTTCACACTGGAGTCTGATATGTGCCGCATTTAAGCAAAATGTGAACTGTAAAACAGTCGACTTCTACTAGGCTAGCCGTTAAAAACAAAGTTTTTGGTTAATAATAGCCTATGAGAGCTATGAGAATAAAGAAACGGGAGCGCACACACACACAGACTTACACACTCATGACTGCAGTCATCTCTCCTCCATCAGATTCTCCCTCACTCATGTCCCTGCCAGAACTTCTTGGGCATTCATCCTCCTTCTGCTGTTTTGCTTCTATCAATCAAATACATACTGTAGCTCTAGCTCGAGACATGACAGCCTGCTGATCAACAGACGTAGTAATTGATTTATAATAAATAACATTTGCAGGCCTGGTTGTGAAAGAGACAAATAGAATAACGCTGGGGACGCGCAGGAGGAAGCGCCGCTAAGGGTCAATTCTCACACGAGCAGCAGCTAAAAGTATCACTGCGAGCCAGCCGCAGAGCTCGGTCTCAATCAGTTAACCTGGGCGTTGAAAGGAAGCGGCCAGCACATCCGCCTCCTTTGTGTGCCGGGCTTTAAAGAAAAAACACACAGCTGTAGTACCTCTCATTATTAGCAGCCAGTTCATCCAGTTCACAGCGCCACAGAATGTCCTCCTCTCGTCGGTTAAAAAAGAGCAGCTTGGTTTTTCTGAGGACACACAAACGTGGATTATCAGGCAAAGCCTTGGATTTATAATCAGTGACACAGTAAAAAGGAACACGCGGTGTCTTTTTTTTCTCTAAACTGTACTTTGGATTGGAAAGGTTGATGATGACGACAAAGAGTCTTTTTTTCAAAACAAAATAGGTTTGCAATGCAGGAATCACACTTTCTGGTTTGGGTTTTACCAGCTGACATTGAATGGTATTTTACATCTTTAACTCACTATTTCAATTTATAATTTATCTTAGGGATGTCCTGATGAGGTGTTCTGCTTTTCTTTTAATCTAAAGTATTTTAAACCTGACGCATTAAACACAGAAGACAAGTGACTAGCAAGATAAAACTGTGTAAGTACGGGTACATTATCAAGGCAGGAGGTAAATAAAACACAAGACACAATAATAGAAAAGAAAGAAAATAGACGAAGATCAAGAAGAACTGGAGTCAGAATCCACAGATACTTCTTCACATTAGTTTAATGTTATTAGAGAGGAAATCATGCTCCCCGCATTATAATCTGCACAAGCACTGAGAGACAGAGCGTTAAGTTGGAACTCTCATTTTATTCCTTTAAGCTGCTATAGGTACAGACTTTTGCTGGATATTCAAGCAATGAAAACTGAATTTTTGGAGGAGTCTGTTAGACTCTACCTTGGCTGTGCAAGGGGTTTTTAAACCTCTTCTGCCCTGGTAGCATCATGACAACACGATCTCCTTAACAACTTTTTATACATTTATTTTAGTGATCTCAGAAGGCTCTGCTGCTGTGGCCTTTATGGTAATCTGACAACACTGAATATCAGATTTGTGCCATGTTTCCGTATCAAGTAATAAGGAAATCTTGCTAGGTCTGACCAGGCATGAGACCAACACGTTAAATTGTCATCAGATTACTGTAAAGGGTAGAGTGTCTGAAAGAGACAATATATAAGGATAGAGGCAATATAGTGAAAGAGAAAACACAGTGAATGCATAAAAAGATAACAAGAAAGAAATGATGAAATATAAGTGATAAGATTTTTTTACTCTGTGGCATCTGTGGCCCCCAGGCAACAAAGTGTTTTGCCCGGTCTAAGTCTTCTGATATGCCCCACCTGTTGGTGTCAAGGTCCTGAAGGGCCAGTTGGATGAGGCGAGCCATTGGTGTGAACCCTGTGCCTGCTGCTAATAGGTAGAGATGTGTGACATCACGAAGGGGGCGGAGACTGAACGTACCCTCTGGACCACTAACGGATATGCGGTCCCCTACAGTGGAACAGATAAGTGAACAAAGACATATATTTAACACAATTAGTCACAGTGCTGTCAGAGTAAAATAATCAGGAGAAACATCAAATAAAGAATACAGACTTTTCTAAATAGATAATGTTTAGTTTGGTGTGGACCGTGGGACAGTTAAGCCAGCTGGAAGAACCACAGAAAAATAAAGACTAAAGATAAAAATCATACTAATTGTTCAGCTGTTGACAATCACTGTAGTTAAGCTCGGAAAGCAGAACAAAAAGCTGTATTGATTAAAATAGAAGAAGAAAATCTGACACAGGTTCATTCTATTTCCAAGCATGAGCTCAGCAGTGAAAATATAGCTCACATTGGTGCTACGTTGAGTGACTGGCTAAGGTTGCCAACAGGTTGTCTACAGAGATGATTATCAAAATTATCAAAAACACTAAATACAACATGTTCGAAGCTAACTGTGAGTTCAAACATGGAGAGAACTCTGTTGTGAAGTTTGCGGACGACACCACCATCGTCGGCCGGACTTCATATCGGCAGGAAACTACCTTGCAGAGTGGTGCACAGAGATCAACATTCTGCTCAGCATGAGCAAAACTAAGAAGTTGATCAGTGATTTCAGGAAAAAGGAGATAAAGGCACACACTCCTGTCTACATCAGTGGAGCTGAGGTGGAGCAGGTGAACAGTTTCAGGTTCCTGGGAATCAGCATCACAGAGAACCTGACATGATCGTCTCACATCTCCACGCTGCTGAAGAAACGACTTTATTTCTTGAGGAAGCTTAAGGAGGCCAAATTCTCACGCCAAGTTCTTGTCTACTTTTACAGAGGAGCAACAGAAAGACTGGAAACATCACAAACAGGCATGTGCTGTGCACGGCCCAGGACCGGAGGGCTCTGCAGCTCCGGAGAAGGTTGTAGTTGGACATTATTTTCTCAAACATAAATTTGCCCTTATATAATGTTCTCTTTCTCAAATTTTGAATATTGCCTGGTATTTGTGGTGCAGTGTGTGTCTGCAGCAACAAGTGCATATCTCCTTTATGCATATGCATTTAAAGGAGGACTAGCCAAATAATGTCTCTAAAGAGCAGCTGCAAATGGTGGCGATGTATTAAAAAGATCAACTGAAACAAAATTCTTAAAAAAAAAAAAACCAATAATATAGAATAAGCAATAAGAAACACCTAACACAGAGTGGAAAAAGACTTGGGGGGAGAGAGAGTTGTGGTTTTAGGCTCAAAAAAATTTAACATGACATAAAATAAACTGCAAAAATCACTTTCACAGGCATTTTCTTCCCTCACATACAAAGAATTATATCACAGCCTGACTGTGACTTACCGATGTGCAGGCTGTTGAGATGTGGGGTTAAGACTCCGTCAGGGTAAACTTTGATCATGAGGTAGAGGTCTGATTCCTGTGAGGAGTGGTGGGAAGCTGCTGCCAGGTTCTGATCTACTGGAGTGTATGGCCTCACAATCTCTGTGCCTGGATATGGACACAAAAATAATTATTAAATAAGACTAAACAGCACTAAGTATCTTGTTAAGTCCAGTTAGTTCCCTCAGAACAGTGTCATTCCTCCTCTGTCAATGCATTCGTAATGCTAAAGAGATCCTCCCTGCATCTGAACAGAGATCAGTCGATAGATAGATATAGCTTTGGTTTGAGAACCACTGGATTAATCTCATCATCTATTTTCATCTATTATTGCTTAAACATAGAGGAACACGTATCCAGTACAGTGCAGCCTATCTGTATGGTTCCTTACCTTGAATGAGGGCTTTGAGGTAGACATGTTTTCCAACAGGCACATGCATGACAGTCCCATGTGGAAGTTGCAATCTGAACACGTGGGTGTTATGGTTTACCTCAGTCTTAGACACCAACACACAATCCCTATAGTAGAGAGCTGTGAAAAGGAGACGATGTAGACTCATTATTTACCTTTTTTTCTTGGATTCCTAACAAACAAACACATATCCAATGTTATCTGATGATGCTACCCTGTACTTTTGGTAGTTGTGCAAACTTTAATGCAATTCCAATATAAAAGATTTGTGTGTATTTGCTGGAAATGCAGACATCTTTACAACCCCATGAAGCCATTTTCCTGTTTCATTTCCTGCACGTCTAAGTGATTAACTGGAGCGATACAAGGTATGTCTGAGTGGCAAGGATTTCGGATCTCACCTCTGTCTTTTTTGCGTAGAAATGTATTGTGAAATTCCAGTGGTTGACCAAGACTTGTCCATTTTCCTTTAGCCTGCTTGCGTATGCTGATCTGGATCTTTCCCACTAAGAAGGCAGTGTGGACTGTTAAAGAAACAACAGATTAAGATTAAGAACAAGACAATCACACAGATTTCTGTTTTTATTCAGTTTTTACTGAATCAAGATCTTGTCTTACCAGCAACATTTCCCTCAACTTCATCTGCTAGACCTGGAAGAGCATGAAAACGACACTGATGTTACAAAAGTCACGGGTACAGTGTGTCCATGTTGTCTAACATGAAAGCACATGCAAAGGTTTAGCTGATCTCTGGGTTCAGCTGCCATATTTCAGTAAAACAACTGGGGAAACAAAGCGAAGTTAAAAAAGGATTGCCATGATGACCACCCTATAAACATAATAATAAGTAATCCTGGCGCTAACAAGCAAACTTTATTTATTCAGTATTGAACAGTGCTTGTTGTGGGCCGGTGCTCACTGATATGCAGTACCGGCACTTCTACATTTTACTCTTTGGTGTACTGTGCCTTTTTCTTGCGCACTCGCCCTTCTCACAGTCTGCCAGTCAGTAGCAGATCCATGCCCTGCATATTACCCCATCGTAATGAAATACAACTATAATGTTTGATAAACACCAACGGGCCACGTCCACGAAAATAAACGTTCCAGCAGAAACCTCTGTGGGACCAGTCCAGACAATGTGGAGGCCTGATGTCACTCCTCATATCTCTAACTCTGAACTAATGCAAGATGGGAAGCAATGTATTGACACAGACTACTGATTTAATATTGAATTTAAAATTTGACTGGGCAATATGGACGCACTCTCAGTAAATAATAACCATCAACTACTCAGCCAAGCCATGGTATAAAAAGCATTTTATATTTCAATATGTATAAAAGAAATCTGGGGTAGCCAGTTTGAATAGGCACTTTTCCTATTCAATAAACATTATACCTTATTCTGTGATGTAGAGGACTACGTATTCTGAGACTCCGGATGGAGCTAACTCCACCAAGCTGACTCCAGAAAGTAGTATAAACAGAAGTAGTCTCGTCCGTGCTGTCCGTGTAAGCGTTCTTTATGGGTTCAGTGACTGAGCAGGAGGTGAACTGGCACCTCTCCAGCTACCTGTCCACACTGCATACTGTGGTCCGTGCTGGACTGGCACGGTACCAGCTAGACTCGCCTTTGTTTGGTTTTCCTTTGTGGAAATGTTGCACCTGTACCTGGAGGGTGGTTTTTTTATTCGGATCACCTCCGTCGAGGTTCCAAGCGAAATCAGCTGTGTAGATTTTGAATATTGACAGTTTTACGAGAAGTGATGGCGGAACAAAAATGTGCTTGAAAGTTTTCGGAGTTGAGGGGCTCAGCAAGTGGCTGCGGGTTGAAGCCCGCTGTGACCCGCGGGAGGAGCGTGTGAGGCCGGCCAGCCGCCCGCTCACAGAGCCCTCTGCTCCCGCCGTCACACAGACCGCTGGAAGGTTTTCATACCGCTTATCTGTCTTTACATTCTGAGGAATGTTCAAACGTTTCAACTTAAAATCAAGAGACAGCTGTATGTGGGTCACTGATGTGTGTGTCGCATTGATAATTACGTCGCGGCAGATGTGTGTGGCGTTGCTATGACAACCAGCTACATTGAGGGGTACTATCTCTGGGTACTGACTGCAATGGAAAACGGAGCACGGCCAAACCGAGTGGAGGTGAGTTGAGCTGGTACAGGTAATGGGAAATAGGCAAATACGTACTGAACCTCAGTGTCACACTTTTTGCAGAGGACAGCAAAATAAAATGTAGAAAGCCAGATCTCTACTCACGTAAATGTATCATGTAGGACATTTTCCCCAGTAGCACTTCGAGTCGTAGAACACCTGCCTCAAGGTCAACAATAGTACAGCCTGAGCTGGGGATCTGACAAAATAAATAAACAATATGCATCAATATTCTACAATTGATCCATGCAACTCTATGTCGGTAACTTCATCCTTCAAACTTGTATGAAAATATGCTACCTGAGTAGCTGTTTCTAAGCAAAATTAAGTTTGATGAATGCACAGAGAAAGGTAGCAAAATCGTCGTCTCCTCAGGCCTCCCAACCCTAACATGTACGGTGTGAACAAGGCCAGACAAATCGATGAGAAACACAGAAGGCAGGCACCTTAAAAATCATACAGGCCTGTCAAAGGAAGCCCAAACCACAGTTGAGCCCAGACAATGTAGAAAATCAACATGCTGAACCCTTAATTGTTACTGATTATTGGACCTGTGAATCATCAATCCCAGACCTTGGACCTGCCCGAGGAAACAAGAAAACTGAAAATGAGCACACGGCTAAAGAAAAGACTGAGGAAAAGGATGAGCAGCCTAAAGAAGCACACAGTAAGAGGAGATGGAGGTTAAAAAAGAAATGACTCCAAAGCCTTAAAAAAGAAAATGTAGAAGTGATCACCACTGAATAATGGCTGAGTGATGTATGGAGTTTAATTTAAACAAGTTGATGTGTGATTGTTTGACTTAATCATAATGTAACCTGACGTGTGTATCATGAAAAAATGGAGAACATGCACACAGATGGCGGGGGAGAGTAGGAAGTACCTAAGTCAAAAAAAGAGCGTGTTAATAAGCTAAATTGCTTTGAAAGTTAGCGTGAGCACTGCGCTTGGTGGATCTATCGGTCTAGCCTTTTTTTTTTTTCACCTCCGTTTTATATACATCCCAATTGTTTCTGTTCTTTCCCAATAATCTGAACAGCCATATTTGTGATCCTGTACAATCTGTTTTTGTCCTTCACCCCCAAGAGTCCATTTATTAAATCTCTGCTCAGCTAGATATGTGGTGATCTCTCATGGATGTGTGTATGTATCAGTGAGCGCTTACCTTCCTTTTAACATAAATGACCAGATGAACAGTCACATCAGTTTGGAACCAGTCATACCTGCAGAAACAAGAGAAAGCAAATAATAAGTAAAGTATTAAACTTTGACCCGTCTGTAAAATATCTTCTTTGACGTGTACTGTCTTCAATACCGAGGCCGAGAGTCTTTGTCTGGGGGAGGAGCCGCTGAGATAGACGGGGCGAGGCCAGTCAGTGGTGGAGGAGGGGTGACAGCTGAGAAGAACAGAAGAAACACCACGAGTTCAGTTTAGGGTTAGAATGACAATAACTCGTTGCACTTAGAGGTGGCTGTTATTTCTTGACACCAACTGTAATTTGCTGCTTTGACTTAGGTCCTTGTTCCCTGAGTTGAATGCCACATGGTTCAACATCCTGCACTGCCTGCTGAGATGTTATTAGGCACAGCGCATTCTGCTAGATAAAATTTGATGCGAGAGTTTAACTGTTTCTATACTAGAAAAAAACTGTTTTCTTATTAGATAACAGTATTAGATACTAATGTGTGAAAGGCCAATATTAGCAGAATTCCCTGAAGCAATTCTGAGACACTTGACAAATACGAGCCATGCACTGTTTTGTTAAAGAAAGACAACCTAACCTGACTGAATTAGTGGGAATGGAAGACTGGGCTGCTGTTTGTTTTTAAAATCAATTAATTTTTGTGTATTAATACACACATACACACATTTATGGTTTTATTTTTATTTTATTAAATTTTTTAATATATTATTATAACAACACACACACACGTTACTGTTTAATTAATTTATTTTATTTTTTTATTTTCTAGGGGTCACACACACACACACACACTTACTGTTTTATTTATTTAATTTAATATATTATTTTCATTTTCTAACACACTCACGCCATTTTATGTATTTACTTTTATTTTTAATATTTATGTCTACATATTTTTTATATACTTATTTGTTATTTATTTATTTATTAACACACACAAACAACTTTAACTGTTTTTTTTACTTATTTAATGAAATGTATGAAATTAAATTATAAATAATCTATATGTGGCTTTGGCAACATGGTTGTTATACATTCATGCCAATAAAGCTGAATTTAATTGATCAAAGAGTACCAAAGTACATGCCATTCTGGCTAACACAGAGATACTGCTGCAGGCCAACTACAGACGTTAGACACAGCATGTGAGCACACTGAGAGACTGTAGTTTGTGTGTGTGTATGCGTATGTGTGTGTGTGTACCTTTAATAGCTGTGGTGACCTTGGTGGCCATCCTGCCCACCAGGCACTCTTTTAACATGGACTCGTAGTTCACCCAGCGATGGACCTGTGCACAGACACACAGATATTATCATAACAAATGGGAATGAGATGCACCAACTGCAATTTTCTTGGTTGGATATGATTTTCTTTCTTTCTTCCTTCCTAAGAACTATAATTGACAGCATAAACAAACATTTTGCTAACTTGTCTTTAATGGAAAATTGTTTCATTATTTTTCCACGGCAAAGATTTTGCACAGTGCTGAATACGAACACACACACACACACACACACACACACAGATAGACATTAGTGGTGGAATATAGTTGATCCATATCCCTTTGTATTAACTTGCAATTTTATTGTGTCTTTAATACATAAAAATGCAAGACCGCACGTTTTGAAATTATAACTGTAATTCTAAAAAGTAACATGAAATGAACAGTTTTTTACTTTCTCCATCACCTTTCATACCTGGTCAAACAGGTCAGTGCCATCTATTCCAGCTGCCTTCATCAGCTCCTCTTCTCCACCAGGGTGGTAGTCCATATATGGGGTCACATTGTAAACCATGCCTGAAAACATCCAGAGAAAGAAGAGCATCATGTTTATGAGTTCCAGCGCCATCTGTTGTTAGAAACTCATACCAGCACAGGCACTGAGAATTAAAACTATTTAATTTTAACTCATTAAATCGTTTTTCATTTGAAGCGGGGTTCTGTGCCAATCAAATTAGTTTTTTTACCACAGCAGAAACCCATATAAATGTCAATTTAGGGTGTGACATTTGCTGTTAAACTCAAGAGCCCTGTGGACAACAGTGTCAATGCGGCTTTATCAGGCCAACGCATAGACAAAACTGCAAAATATTAGCAACCAAAATAGTAAATACTTTATGATAAATGGATAAGACACATGCCTTTGGTGTGAGAGACCTGGGTTCGTGTCCCTAAGCAAGACACCGAACCCCTAGTTGCTCCAGAGGCGTGCAACCTCTGACATGTATAGCAAGAGTCAGCTTAATGCAAGTGGGATCAAGTATCATCAAGGTGACATCAAGTACTCTCCAATCTGCTAAGTACTACGGATGCAGGTTACCCATCCGTTTCTCTTCGGTGAGAACCAGCCCCTGTATCTTGTCTACCATGCAGGCTCACCTCGTATGCAGGTCCAGCAGTCCTCTCTTGTGTTGTGTTTCTGCAGCTCTTCCTGGGTAACTTCAATCAGGCGCCCTCTGAGTCCAGTCAGATCTTTTCCACTCTTGGAAAAACGGATCCAGTCCATTAGACTGTGGCCAGGCTTCAAGGCCACCTAATTATGGGAGGGGGGGGTGAAGAGTCATGTAAGAGGAGACGTTTTAAATGCCCTTCTGTTGATGTGTGAAGTCATGCAGGACCACATTTAAGACGCAGCAGCGCCATCTGGAGACTGAATATTACTGAACATACCGCTTATTAACGTCGCTATCATTTCAAATTAACACCCAAACAAGCTACTGAAAAGGATTTAGCTCGACACGAAGCTCACAACTTTACTGTGAAATGATTTAACGTTACTTCTGTCACTCGACTGCACACTGGCAGGTTGTGGAGAATAGTTAGGTCATAGCAGACATAGTTCCTGAGAGGAAACGGGTGTTCGTGTGTGAGCTGAGTTACCTTGTTCCTGCCGGACTGGCCGGACGGAGCGACCCGCTGCGGGGAACTCGCCGCAGGGAAAGACTGCGGCGGGATGTTCAACATGTTGTGAACGCGTCGGCGGCAGCCCAAGTTTCCAAGAAAACCTATTTAACCAACGGCAGTTTACCACACTGGCACATGAACGACAGCTTTGTAGTCACAATGGCTGCTTGGTGTTACTGAAACAACTCCCTTCCTTATTGAGACACATCTCTGTTGGGCAACGCTGCTTCACTCACTTCCGCTAAGCTAAGCTAACAACACATTACTGGCTGACTGTAACAGCAAGTTACGTATCTTCACATCAACGTTATTTATTAAAGTAAATATCTGGCGTGCTGTTCAAATAATTAAGAAGCCAAAGCATCAGTTGCTTTGCTTGCTAGTGATAAATTGCGAGCTGGATTTGCGGTTCCGCCGTTATGGAAAGACTAGTCGCACGTTTAGACGACGACGTCAACAAATGGCGTCATCAAGTTGCGACGGTCCTCGGTTGCAGTGTTTACAAAATAATAATAATAATAATAATAATAATAATAATAATAATAATAATAATAATAGTAATAATAATAATAGTAATCTTTATTTGTAGAGCACTTTTCAAAAAACAAGTTACAAAGTGCTTTAACAAGTATAAAGACAATAATACAAAAAACAATACAAGATAAAAGCAAGAAAACATTGAAAAGACTAAAATACACGTTTAAGATAAATATAAAATAGAATAAAATGGATAAAATAAAGTCAAATAAAATAAAAAGGCTCTCCTTACGGCTGATTTGACGTTGGCTCGTGCCAGTGCCCAGATCTCTTGTATATATTAACGTTATGCATGCTGGCTCACAAACACGTATATGAAAACGTTACACGTGTGATTTTCATTTTGTCATTAAAAAGGTCTGAAAGCCTACCTGAAATGAATCGACTGAAAAAAGTGGTGAAAGATGAACCATGTCTGCTTGATCCACTCTCACTGTCATCATCGTCATCCTCCTCTGAATCTCTCTGGTTTTCCGTCGGACATCGTGAAAACATCTCACACAGCTTTGCAGTTGTATTTATTAACAGTGTAACACAGTCTACACACTCTGACGTCCATCTGGGCAACTGCACGGTTTGCTTTTGAAAGGCTAATCTGCTAAAAGGATTAAGGGACAAGAGGTATCTCACTTCAAAATAAAAAAAAGGACCATGTGCGCTTTAACTTGGCTGCAACCCCTGCTGCTGGGATTGATTTAAATAAATAGTACAAAATGTAAAATACAATTTACATTTACTCATTTGGCAGACGCTTTTATACAAAGCGACTTACATTTGAGAAACAATAGACAAGCATCAACAAAGCATCAAATACAGCACGATATCTATAATAATAATAATAATAATAATAATAATCATCTTTATTTGTAGAGCACTTTTCAAAAACAAGTTACAAAGTGCTTTAACAAGTGTAAAGACAATAATACAAAAACAATACAAGATAAAAGCAAGAAAACATTGAAAAGACTAAAATACACGTTTAAGATAAATATAAAATTTGTAAAATAGAATAAAATAAAAGGGATAAAAAAGTCAAATAAGATCGGGAAAGGCTCTCCTATAAAAGTTTGTTTTAAGAAGGGACTTCAAAGAGTTCACTGACTCAGCCGACCTGATTTCCTCGGGCAGGCTGTTCCAGAGCCTCGGGGCCCTGACAGCAAACGCTCTGTCCCCTTTAGTTTTCAGTCGAGACTCTGGAACAGACAACAGACCTCTGCCCGAGGATCTCAAGGTACGTGCTGGTGCGTATGGGACTAAAAGGTCAGAAATATAACAAGGCGAGAGGCCATGAAGAGCTTTAAAAGTGATCAATAGAATTTTAAAGTCAATTCTAAAACATACTGGGAGCCAGTGTAATGAAGCTAAAATAGGAGTAATGTGGTCATATTTCTTTGTTCTGGTTAAAAGCCTGGCAGCCGAGTTCTGGACAGTCTGGAGTCCATCAATAGATTTTTGGGTTAAACAGGTGAAAAGGCTGTTGCAATAATCCAGGCGTGATGAGATGAAGGCGTGTAAAATGGTCTCGGTGTCCTTAAAAGTTAACATGGATCGAATTTTTGCTATATTTCTAAGTTGATAAAAACATGATTGAACAAGCTTTGTGGTGTGCTGCTCGAAATTTAAATCTACAACTGACAATACATACTAGTAAGAGCAGCAAATAGTAAATAACATCTCAGATATGTTATATGACGGCATTTAAAAACAAAAACGATGTGTTAAATGATAATGAGCTCTGTGGTTTTCACAGGCACTAAATCTGATTTGACACCCAAACAGTGTAGAAGAAGAACAGACCACACAAATTCAGCATCGCACTACTTTGCTGCGATGGCACCTAAGCAAGGACAGGAAGTAACAACACATGAGAAAAACAAGACTTCAAAATAAAACAGGAAGTGAGGCAAGAAACGGCAAGCTTGAAAAATTGTATACAAAAGTCAGACTGATCAAGACATTCAATAAGTAAATCAGGTTACATCTACCAAAATTTGAGCTATCCTAGGTTATTGCTTGTTATACCTATTGACAGATGATTATAGATAAAAACAGACACATAATTTGTACATTTAGCACCATAAGTGAAAGACTATCTTTACACAATCATGGGTCAACCATTTAATATTTTTAATGGACTTGAGTGGATTGTTGAATGAAATTGTAAAGTCATCTTATTTTCTTTTTGTTGAGGTTATCAGACCGTTAAATCACGCAATTGTAATTCAAGAACGACCAAGTTCTTTTTAGCTTTATTTCGTCGAGTTAACTCACTCCTCGGTAGGCCAGCCACGTGGTTAGTTACGCGAGCAGTAACAAAGGACAATCAAACTGACAACCCGAGCCAAGGTTAGCAGCCTATCCCTGCAAGTTTTCTTCAATAAGCCGACCAAGGGGGACCCCAAGACAACCGACCAGTTAGTGAAAAGCCACTGGGAAGGCTGTAGGAAGCAGGCAGCCGACACAAGCAGACAGGAATGGGGATGAGGAGAAGGAGAAGACATTGGAGGTTGACATGCATTGTTGAATAACTTTTGACAGGAAGGCGCTGGAGCGAAACGTTTTGCGGTGGAATTTGCAGCGGGACTTTTGCTTTGCAGCTTTGGGGCTTCACTGCAGTCCCCTGCAGTCCATTGCAAAAGATTCCTCAGCCTATAAGATATTCTAATTGTCTGCTATATCCTACTGATTAACACGATGGACAATGTCGACGCAGCTCCAGCGCCATCTACATAGCAAACTGGCGGGAGCAAATGTTGCATCTGTCGAAAGGAGAGGAACTGTTATATTTTACTGGCTTTACTCTTTTACCTTTTATGCTGCATTATTATAGGCCTATGTTTCACTGTTTGCTTTTTGATCATTTTATTATGCTGCAGCTAGGTCAAGGTTCCCATGGGAATGTAGCTCCTTACAGGCTTTTCACATCTGACCGCCCTTGATAGGCATCATCTCAGGACAGTTGGTTCCTACTCCCAGACTGGTTGCGCTCTGTATGTTTGTCTGACCTTTTGCAAAGAATAAAAGACTTCAAAGACCTCGGGATTGAACTCTTCATTTCATGAGACTCACTTAAGGTTTCATTCCCGTTAAACTGCTGACAATGTGGCCTGGCTGTCGCTGCTCATGCCTTGTTCAGAGCTCAGTAAGCAGATTTTTTCTTTTCCGTGTGGACGAACGGCCAAACCACATGGGAAAAGTCACGGTTTTGAAAATACCCGTTGTTAACCCTTCCTGCTCAGCTCCTGGGGCTTTTTGGGGGGGGAGCCAACAGGGGCCAGTGCCCTTGTAACACAGACCCTTGACCCCCCTATTGACCCTTGACCCCCTCTGAACGAAAAATCTACAATAATCATAGTAATATATCTTCCTTGCGATATGGTGCTGATGCGAAAGGTGGAACAAATGTGTCTCAACTAGTCAGATCCTTTAGGACTTTGTTATCCCTGATAGAAAGTGTTCCCCCTGCCATGGATGCGTGCGTGTGTGCATTCAGCGGAGAAGGCGGACTTTCAACTTCACAACAAATAAATGAAAAATATAACATGTGGATTGTTTCATCTATCGTTTTAGTATTGTTTTATCAACAAGGTTTTTGCAGAACGATTTTAAAAGCTAAGGTTAACGTTACGTGTTATTGAACTTCGTATTATTCACTGCACTGAACTGAGAATGTCTAAACAAGACAAGCAGCTTCAGATTCTCTCGTAAAGCAAACATTTATTTAGGTATAGTCTGACGATGTTATAACTGACCACGTAGTTGATCACTTAGTCATCCATGTTACTTTTTGGAAGCTGGATCCAGACAGACTGTCACCTTTTTCAAGTAAGCTGCTCCTACAAATATCTACGCCATCAATACTGTAAAATCAAGATCACTGTAATCAGTTTAACACATTGCTCGCCTCAGCGTTACATCTACTTGAATTAAAATGTACATTAAACTGAATGCAGCATTGCAGAAAATATTTTGTCCTTGTAATCCATGTTTCCATTGCATGGATATGGATATTGCTGAAAATTGTTCACAGTCCCTTCCTTAAAGGGTAAATTATTATCATAACAATTTAATAGTGCATTACGTTTAAACTTTTTAAACCGAAATACCACAATGATCAAGCAGCTCCATGTTGTCAAGAGAAAAATTCCTCCCTCAAAAATTGTCAGTTATTTTATTTTTCATATTTTCTTCCTATTTCACTAGTTCCCATCACATTAGAATCAACACAAATAATTACTTACAACAACTATGATAAACACTTTTGAACTAAATTGCCTGTCATTTCAATTTCAAAATAATCACGAACTAGCTTTTTACAGTCTTTACAGTACATACTCATTAGTTTAAATTCAAATGTGCAGATCAGCCAAGTTTAGCCAAAGGCTGCATTAAACCGACAGAGGTAGGCGGCCGAGACCTCACAATTCCCACCGTGAGCAAGCACATGGTGACACAGGCAAGCAAAAACACCCTTTTAGGAGGTGAAAATCTTGAACACATCCGTGACTCAGGGTTGGCTGCCACCTTCTTTGACCGGTTGGAGGTGAGGGAGGGGCGGAGAGGGAGAGAGACAATATCCACACAGAAATACAAAAACAGTAAAAATGGTTGTGGTACAGAGAGAAAATGAATAATGGCACTGATAATTAAGTTAATGATGATAATAATAATAATAGAACTAATAATAATAATTGTCGCAGCAGGTGACCCGCAACCACAGATCCAGACTCCACAGCTCCAGAGCCAGAAACACATGCAGGAAGTAATAGGAAGAGAGAGGAGAGGGACGAGAAAGCACAAGACTACCGGAAAGGGGAGAAGTTGTGTTAGTAACATGCAATAATGGGATGAGGTTGCATACAGAGGGAGAGAAAGTAGAGGAGAGAGGAGCTCAGTGCATCATGGGAAATC